TATAACGCTGTGTGTCATGCTTTTGCCATATAATGCCAAATATTTTCCATGCTGTAAAACAACAATTCGTTTTATTCCGAGAACGGTTAATCTAACCCAAAAAGTTGCCATTGTTACGAAAAGTTAGTAAGTATAGGAATTAAAAAATTAAGACTTTTAGCACTGAAGAATGTAGAACAAGTGGTACCAGATGCAATTTCGAATACACCGCTTGGAATTTTTCAAATGCTTCCACCTGAATTACTCTATGTAATTTTTGATCGCATTCCAGGTTTCCTATTTTGATGTTTTTGTTTTATAAAAGTAAATATTGAAAGAAAAATTATTTTTGCATTGCATAATCAAAATTTTTTATTTTCTCCCTATTGAACCGCAAGTCTTTTTGTGTATTTCCTTTCCGAAAAGATGTGATCAGAAAAATGATTCATTTTCTGCAGTGGTTACATATAGGGCTGCAATTTTAGTACTACAGTTGAAGCAGCTTAGTCTTTCGTCCAATACACTGAATATCAAAATCCGTGGATACGTATTAATGGCTGGTACACGCCGACGATTTTTCGCCGAAACGGCTGCGGTGTACTGTGCTGATTTTGAGAGTGCACAAGATCCGTTTTATGCTTGGGGTTAGCTTGGCCATGTTTTTTTATTGATGAATTCGATGTGCAAGTGCTGTTGAACGATCATCGTTTCATATGGTCAAATGATGTTGTCTAGTTGGAGTTTAAATATTTTTTGGGTCGTTGTTAGATTCGTCTTGTTAAAGGTGAAGAAAATATAAAAACATTTAACTCTTTCAGGTATGCTTCTAAAGGCTTGCACTATTGTAATGAGCTTTCATGGCGGTCATGTCTTCTTGGCAAAATTCTTCAACAAGGTTAAAACAATACAGATATAGTTTATATAATCTTATAATTTTGAGGTTTTTTTGAAATATAGTAATTTTTAAAATGCTGATTTTTAAAATGTTTGAATTTCCAGAATAAAAATGTCGAAAACTGGTATGGTTGGGGTCGATGCTTTATGGCGGTAAGTTTGGATCAAAAATTCTCTTTCTTATTTTTTCTGTTTAACCATGATGTTGAAGATACTGATGTGTGGCTGAAGTCAATAACTTTTTTTAGTTTTGCAAAGGATGGACACATAATGAATGTGAAGAACTGTTCAGAGCAGTGATGCGATTTACTGGCTTAAATGGCATTCTGAATCGCGCTATGTCAAGAAAAGTCAAAAACTACCCTCATTTAGAAATAGAGGTAACAATCAAAAGATTTCCACTTTAACTCAATTTTTCAATCAATTCTTTTAGGTTCGAGTACGCCTCCGAGGCTTCTTCCTGAGCTGTTATGAGAAAAGTGACGAGATCTATGGATTCTGGATTTCGATTATTTTGCGTACTCAAAAGACTATTGCTCAACAAGGGCAATTATTTATGATCATATTCGGACCTGTGAAGCTGGATGAGGATAACTGCGGTAAGAAATGACTTGTGTCAATCTTAATGAAATTTTTAGATTTTCAATTAAAGGGAAACAGAGTCTTCGAGTAAAACTAAAATTCTCGCTCGCAATTTAAAGATAATATATCACTTCTATTTATTTAGATATCATTGACTGGGAGCTGTTGAGTAATACCACAATTGAAAATCGTCATCTATGTGAGGAAATAATCGGTCCTATGTCTTTCAGTGTTCATTGTATGGTTACTAATGAAAATTTAAGGGAATATGCATGGAATGATTATCATATTTTCAATTTGATCGAAGAAATTACAAGTAAATGATTTGGAATATTCGAAGAATTGAAATTTTGTTCACTTAAACTATAAAAGTTACTGATTGCTATCAAGTAATGTTATTTGAAAGAAAAAGATCGTTTGGCATGCTTGAAATAACGTGATAAAGCAAAAGTGGCAAAGACTGTCATAAGAAGCGGGGTGTAGTCTGAGTAAATAAAATGCTGTGAACTGATGTTCAGTGGTATATCATTATAACATGAACAACCATAGCAATGTGACAAATGATTCAGATAATTTAAACTACCCCATATCTTTTTATTTGTATTGTAAAATTATTATGTTACTGTTACTATATCATTTGATTATGATTATTAAAAATTGCGATTTTTTCATGCCATTATTAAAATTTTTAATTTATTTAAAAAATTTTTAAGCTAATATCAAGCATATCTACTAAGCCATCGTTAAAATTCGAAGTTTTTTTTAAGCAGCTCCATATTCTTGGACTCTTGACAACTTTGCTGCACTTTTGGCTCTCCGACCAAAACTTATTCATATTGCATTGTATGCTCGAATAATACATGGTCATCAAGAAGAGGCGGCACATCTTTTTCATGCTATAAATTCGGTATGTTTATGTGCAAAATTTTCTAGCAATTCGTCGAATTGATAACATGAACAATTATCACCATAGCATGAATTGAAGTTATTAAAAAGCATCAGGTTATGGATAAATACCTAATAATAATCTTGGATATTTTAGACATATCCTGTAAACATCAAAGGAACAATAATTTTGATCTGAATATTTAATTTTTCAAAAGTGGGATACTTGTTAGCTGAAGCATTGTTATTCTTGCCACATCATATGAAAATATAAGTTCAACATTTTTTAGATGTTAGCGGTTCCTCTAAACTTTTGCGAATTTCGCTAAATTTAGGTTCTGCACCAGTGGGGTATTTTCTCGAGCGCAGCAGTGACAACTGTACTGTTAAAGACATTTCGGGCCTTGTCTGATATTCGCCGTCGACATTTTTTATCTTCTTTCTTGAGGATTGAATCGGAGTTGCTGAGCGATGCCTTAATGAATGAACCTTGTGAGTATTTCCACTTATTTTGAATCAATAATAGGAAAGTATGAAATTATTCTGAAAAATATGAGAATAAAATTAGAAATAGTAATCGATGCTAATTTCTTTGCTTTTTTAAAATAACTCATTCGATAATATGTGGTTTCTACAGTCGATCGTGATTATTTTTATATGGAATTGGCTGTTGGACGCGCTGTATCGCCCTTAGTGACATTGATGGCGTCAAATGTATGAAGTAAAAATTTCAATCATATTTGAATTTTTTAATCATTTTTTCGCGCTTTTCAATGATATTATGGTTAAATTTATCATGTTTTTTGATTTTATTATTTCTCGGGGGGGAAACAATTTTACTCTTTAACTTTTTAATCCACTCACGATTTTAGAATTCAATTGAAATTTGTGTTTGTTAGAATTTTCAAACTATTGCTAAGTTAATTTAAATGTAGCTCAGATTATGGTTGAATAGCAATAAGAACTGAAGAACTGTTATGGGGATGGAAGGAGAGAGAACAGTTTTTACGGTTTGAAACAATATTATATATTGAAAAGTATTGGGAACTTAGATTTTACAATAAAAAGATGCATTGGATTTTTTGTTAAAATCCAGTTTTCTCTAAATAATTAATTCTATTTAGATTTCTCCATCAAATTAATTAGGTCCTGCGCGCATTTTCTATAATTGACAATATTTCATTTTTAAAAAAAATAAGGTGATATGTTTTTGTGAATTACTTGTTTGTTTTTATAAATAGTTTCCGGTTTAAAATGACTCTTTAAAATCTTTATTATTATTTAGAAAATAATCTGCAATGAAGGCATGTATCAGCTTTTTGCCAGCTCATTATTTCGCGTTGAAAGTAAGGCAAAAATTCAATTTTATTTTACTTCATTAATACCTACCGGATTATCAATTATTCTTAGAGACATTATGTGAAAAACTAAATTGTTTTTCAAACATATGTGAAAATGAAAAAAGGTACATGTACTTATCTTACTATAAAGAACAAAGACTGGAATTGTACAGAAGATAATGAGTAGTTTGAAAAAAGAACTCAGAAAAATTAAATTTCGAAATAAAATATAGTCATGATTACATGGATTATATGTTCGCTATAATAATTCATATTCGTTTTTCGTTTGTTCCCAACAGTTTTCGATATCCTGGATATGAAACCATATTTTCGGTCAAAATTGTTACATTCGTCCAATGCATAATTACTATTATAGAAATATTGAGCATAAATAGAAAATATTTTGTAGTTTTTACTCTGCTGTTGCGAATTTTGAGTTTGAAAAGTTTCCGAGATTTCGAGTAAAAGAATTGCAGTAAATAAGTCTTTTGGAAATCGAAAAGTATAAATCAAAGATTTATATTAGTGGGTTTAGAAGAAAAAAAAAGAATATTAAAAGAGATAATAAAGATTTAAGTGGAAATTTTTTAATGGTTTTCAATAGTAAGAAAATTAGTATGGAAAATGATATCGTACCGTGTGGAATCTTTTACCGTATGTTATATTGTTAACTGGAGCAATATATTTGAATTATTTGTTTAACAGATTAAAATCATTAGCTAAACCTAATTGCAAATGAAAAGTATTGATGAAAAAAGATGGAAAGATTTTAGTCATTAGGGGTTAATGTAGTGATTTAAAATTTGATATGAGGAAATTGCCGAAGGAAGACTATTTAGTAATTTTAGATAGACCTTGCAAAAAAATTATAACCAGAAAATGATATTGTCATTGATAATGAAAAGATATTAAGAAAACAGAAGTCGAGAGAGTGGTGAATTTAATTCAATATAGAATATAATAGGAAACGAGAAGAACAACAGAATTTGCATAAAGCAGTCGGTATATCCGTTAAATCTTCATGACATTTAATTTAAAAGAATGCTTATGTAATTTATATGATTGAAATTAAAAGCTTAAATAAACTGTAAGATGTTTGACCGGGAGTTAATTCTATGAAGTTAATGGAATTATGAGAAATCAAATAGAGTATTAATTTGCTTTAGCCCTTGAATATACATACATTGGACATTCATCGGTTCAGCAGTGTTTCCATCGACATTCCGAATATTCATTTATTGAGGAAGAGCTGCATCAACCTGAATGAATTATAAATATCCCTATTAATTTAAAATTAATTTGGGTATTTGTTCAACATTCACAGCATCATCGTTAATTACAAAGCAATAATTTTTCATAGCCAATAATGGCGGCTGCTGAAACAAAATGTACATATGTGAATAATGAATATAGATGAAAACAATGAAAGAATGATTTGATAAATGTGCGTTTCATTTTCTTATTAAAAGAATTTTTTTAAAGAAAAGAATAGCTTATTAAAATCTTTATCGATAAATGTTTGGATTATTTTAATTATGCAAACTTTTTAGCAGATAATAATACAACAGAAAATCACTGACTTTGCTAATATATTCGAAGGGACAGTTTGATACACTGTGCAATGTTATGCGTATGTTCAAGGCCATATTTTCAACTGAGAATACAATTAAATCACCATGTATCGTATCTTTTTCCGAATCTGATATCATTATTTACAACTTATTGCTTGCATTTTAATTGTAATTATCATTATTTAATAACGAATTTGTATTCCAATAATAATTCTTCACGAAAATGAATATTTCTAAGGATCGGTGAAAGAATGGCATTATTTGAAATTCTCCTGGATTAAATTTTATTTTATAATTATAAGTTAATAAGACTGTTATCTTTCAAACTTTCCTATAATCAATACGCATTCCCAATACACATTTTTTATGAATAAGCTTGAAAAAGAAGTAAAACTTAAAATACTTGAATCTGAGTCCGTCTCATGCTCCGACATTTCAATTTGACCGATTTCCATCGGGAATGCAATGGTTGAGTAGCTTGAATTGCTACTGATGCTATCATGCTGAGTATACACTTTACTTGAATCCTCAAGTTATGACATTTTTTCACTTATAATTTAAATAACTATTCGAAAAGTTTTCAGTAAGAGCCACATGATTATGGCTAATTTAGCAAACAGTAAAATAAAGCAATCTAAAAAAACGGAATCTCAAGACCGATGAGATAACTTTCCTCAGAAAGTTTTAGTAACTTACCAATAAAATTCACATAAATTTTTATCAAAGTTAAATTATTTTTCTCCCTTTTTTTGAAAACTACAAATGGACAACACAAAACGCTGAAAGAAATTTAGCTTTTTTCTGTGTTTTAAGAAAAAAAATTGCTAAGTTCTAATTTATGTGGTTGAATTCTGAAAATTTTTAATAAATAAATTTAGCTTCTTTGTATGTTACATTGTTGATTAATTTTTCTTTTAAAAAACACTTTTTTAACTTTCACATCTAAATTCATGAATATACGAACTTCTTAATGGGTACAAATACATACGTATAAAACAGAATGTAACATATCTTTGAGCGGTTTTAAAATGTTACATCGAAGAAATTCTTCTTTTTTATTTTTTACATCGCTCATCAATTTTTTCTTTTTCAAAAGACATTTGCATACTTAAATTTATAGAAAATAACAATCAAATGATTCAATTTGTACGTTGTCTTATGAATAACTCTGAATGACTTGGTATTTTACATGATCAAACTATTGCTGAGGTAAAGATTGAAAAAAAAAGTGTTTATTGCAGTGTTGAAAATGTAAACGAGGTGTATTATTTACTCGAAACATTATTTAATAATACTAATCAAGTGATATACGTATTTTATCTAAATTTTCATTAAACAAAAATTATGAGTTGAAATATTCGAATATATGAAATTTAGAAGAGAATTAAATTAATTCGTGAATTTGGCAGGAAGTCATAGACGAATGCATGCACATGCGCATGCATATTTTACCCGTTTAATATTAAAAAGTTAGAAATGAATTGCGATAAACTTTCTGTTATTCAATTTCCAGTTTTTTCATTCAGAATTTATTAGCTATTTGTTTCATCCTATCATCAAAATATCGAAATAATAAATATTTTGATGATATTTTGACACATTTTGTTTTCACACAACGTTTCAGCCAATATTTGCAACATAAAATGGAATCACATAAAAATTACTAATTAAATACAAATCGACAATCCTGAATACAAAATCGAATTATTGTTGTTTGAGCATCTATGCAAACTATTGTAGTCCAAAAAAAAAAATGTATGACAGTCTCAGATAATTATAATATTAAGAAATATACTTTATTTATTGATTATTGCTAAATTTCGAATTATCACACTGTGACAGCAATATCTTCTGAAGCTGTTAAATTACGACTAATTTAGTGTTTTAATAAAAGTCGAAATCAATCATTTACATATTAAACAATTTTCTTGTAAATATGGAAATGAGCGATTGAAATATCACAGACTTCACTTGCAAAAGAGAGGCATTATTAAAAATGAGTAATAAATCATAAATTGCGACATATACAGGGGGATGATTTGCAGGTCATTTGATGGCTTTCTATCAGTAATTTCCTCCCTCAACCATCTTCCGGTGATTATAGTTTTAATCATCCGGAACAATTTTTGAATAATATTGTAAGTTTGAAGTATTCATTCATGAAATATTTGATCACTCACTTCGAGAAAATATTTCAGCAACACGGAATTATTAAACACCATCTTTTTCCTCTTTCCTTCCCTCCTCCTAAAAAGACGAGCAAATATCATTTGAAGGCATGTTTCGTCGATATTTCATTGGATTTAGATTTAAGAAGTCTTGCACGATCTCGATTAAATTCGTGTTTTACGCGTTCTTTCTCCGATTGTTTCGTATTACGCCAAATGTGTTGCACGAATATCCGTTTTTGAAAATGGATATTTTCATTTCCATTCACTCGATCAAACAACGTGACAATACGACGAAAGGACGGACACGTTTTCCAGAAACTATAAATTCGTGTAACGACGTAGACCTGTAGCAGTGATATGGTGTCACGACGAAAACCACTAATGGAAGATATGGAGCGAGCCGGTAGAGAATCCACTGATCGGAATGGATGTATCGGAGTGGATCGAGATGACTGTACTGCGCTGAATGTCTGTGCTTGGGAGCCAATAATTTTTATGGCGATAATCTTCCCTTTAGCTTTAATACAATTAACTCGGTGAAAGTTACGTAAATCGTCTGAATAAAAGTATTGCGTCGGTCGACTCGTATGACTCCAATGAATATCGTCATGCAGCATTGCTTCTGATCCGATCGTTTCGCCATCAATCACAAAGCAATAGTTATCATCAACTACTGCTGGTGGTAGTTTATGACTAACAATACATTCCGGAGCATCAAGCAAATTTTGTAAAGCATTTTCTGTTTCTACCGTCTTTTGATGTCGGCTATGAATTGGGATATTTTGATAGTATATAACTGATTGTTGGATATCCTGTTCAGGTGGTGCTTTAGATGTGGTACTAATCCGTTCCACTGATTCACAAGTATCTAAATCAAGTTTAGAGGGTCGTATGATCTGCATACTCTGACCGGTAGATGATATTGTTGATGACGATGATTGCGATGATTTCGAAACAGCTTCATATTTATTGCTGAAAACATGCAATTCTAAATACCAAATTCCAATTTGAAAGACAAATTTCGAGTCATACAATACGTGCGAAATTTATTTTGTGAATATTCTAAAACTTTGAATTTTTGAAATGATCATTTTTTACGCTGTCCTTTCTGCAAGAAGAATTTGAACTCAATTTAGTATTACCATAAAATTGACTTGAAAATTACAAATATTTGCAATAAGTGCAGAAAAAAAGAATAAAATGAAAACCTTTTCTTTTGCGTCTTGCAAGAAATGAAATAGAGAAGAAATATCGTAGTAAAGTATATTAAAATGTATTTGATTTTGCTTTACACAAATATTAAAATTCAAAAGTTTCAGAAATGAAAATAAAAATTAAAACAGAATTGTCGTGTGCCGGAAAGATTCTATCAGAAGGTTCAACACAGGCATCTTTTTGCAGTTTCAAGAAGTACCATATTATTTTAATCATTTTATGAGCAAATAATTATTAATATTTTAAATTACTATTCATTGAATTGGAATGAAATAAGCATTCAAAATTAAAAAAAATAATTGGGAAATGAATTTGATAAAATCAAAGATTACAAAAATTCGCAATATTTCATTTGATGCTTCCTGTAATTTAATTATAACTACGTAATTGCAAAATAAGACAAACAACAAAAGGCAAACAACAAAGGCTTCTTGATATCTATCAAGAATACCACCACAATGTTATTAAAATAATTATATATTAATTTGCAAAGATGCAAGTACTGAATAACGGATAGTTTTAGAATAATAAATATGCAAATTTCGAACTGACGACATGCTGTAATTATAAAGAAAAAGCAAGGGAAAGAATAGAAAAAAGAATTTACTTGTACTAATTATAAATTATGTCAGAAATTTTATATCCTATTTCCCAATTTTCTCTTCGAAATAATATTCTTCCTCTCTAATAAGTAAAACTGCGGACAGACAGACACGGATAGTACGTAATATTCACGCAACATTTTTTCATGGAAAAATATTTCGTGATATGGAAGTAAGTACAGAAAAGCTAAATCAATAGTGCAAAATAAATTAATATCTGTATGATTTATCTTTTGTTTTCAAATTAAAACTTGTGGATGATGAAATTAAAAAATTGTCATTAAAACGTGATGAAGCGTAGTACAAATAGAAAATGAATTGAATGAATACCTAAAAATTTCTTCATGCTCGACTTGATAATCCTCATTTTCATATGTGGCCATTGTTGAATCGTCAAGAAACATTTCCGTGGCTTTGATTTCCGGCCTAACAAAATTTTCGTTTCTTTTTTTTGATTGAAAACAAAGGAAGATTAAAAAATTTGTTTTAAAATAAAAAGCTGAAAAAATTATTTTAAAATAAGAGATTAAAAAATATTTGTGAAGTCATACAACTACCTTTATGAGTTGAAAATTACAAAGTGATAATCAAATGTTAATTACTGTATAAGTTTTATAATTATTAACCTACTTTGCGAACGAATTCTTTGCTTCATTCAACATTTCGGTATATGAATTCCAACGCGTCATGCAGGCTAATCCAATAAGCTATAAAATAGGAAAAGTCAGTTGAGCAATAAACATATATCGAGAAATGAGCCACAAATGAATTAAGACATTGTTTTAAATAGCTTTTAATGTCTTAAGTGATGAATCATTGAAAGAATAAGTTCCTAACAGAGCAAATTTTTAAACTTTTCAAAAATGTTACGCTGCTTGAGGGTGATACAAGCGCAACGGATATTGACGATGGCTTTGTCCCTGGTAATTGTTGTTGTGACAAAATTAGTGACTGCGATGCTAATGACGGTTGCTCTTTAGTAAAAATCGGAGAATTTGATGCTGGAAATTCATCTTTACAACTCGTAACAGTCGATAATCATCTATATGGGAATTAATAATCTAATGATGAACTAAGGAAGAAGGAATTATGGATAAATGAATGAATTAATGAAAGAATGAAGTTAAATGAATAAATTAATGAACGATGAATGAATAATTGACTGAAAACTTCAGCTATTTTACTTATGAAATAGCTAAATAATAGCTGCAACAAATTTGGAAAATAATTTACTAATTAGTTTTGGGTTCGGTATTTGTTCAGATGAAGAATTTACAGAGAACCGCTCGATTGAAAATGATCGCCTGCGGCAACTTTCATTAGTAATTCTTTCTAGTGATTCTGCTGTTGGTAATAGTGATTGAATAGGTGAATGAATTGAAAATTTTTGCGGTTCTTCTGAAATAAAAAAGAGAATGATCAAAAAATGAATTATGGTGGAATCAATTTCGTTATATCTGCGATATTAAATTGATAAAACTCAAAAATAATTAAGGAATTAGTGACGAAAGAAGAGAACAAAATAAAGCATCTCTGATGCCATTTTGATTCTTCTATTGACACATTTCTTTAAATTGCAAAAAAAAAAATTCAGTTGATATAAAGAATACAAAAAAAAAAGAAAAGAAAATTTGACCAGCTATTTGATTCGGATTCGATTTTTTGAGAGATTGCTTTGATTCTATTTCTTCAGAAAATACACTGTAACAAATAGATGAAAAAAATTCAAATATTTGAATTTAGCAGAAATGTGATGTTTGAAAAAAATGGATTGGAGTTACTGTGTGCAATTAACGAAAATAATTATTGTTAGGATTTCAAGCATATTAGGCAAAATATATGAAAAGAGAAGTTCACATATTTACCGTATCAAAATTTCATGCATTGAATTTTACATAATATTAAAAACTATTGAAATAAAATTTCAATTTTTGAGCACAAAAATAATACGTTATAGAACTACAAGGCATTACAGGGATTTTGACGAAGATCGCACATTTTCAGACGCATGGAATATGACTGATGGATGGCCAGTACAGGAAACCTTATGTACTTCTATACTAAAAATAATAAACTTACATCAAAATGCAATACATTTTATTGGAAAAATAAAATCGGCTTCATTTTTTTTGGTTTTCAATAAAGAAATTTCAATTTACTTTAGCTTTTATAAAATTATAAATATATTAAATATTACGGATAATATCATCAGTGTCATTATAACTATAGGTTTAATGGATCAATGTATTAATTGAATAGCACTGTTAATTCAAATTTGAACCAACTTCAGATCAAATTCTTATTTATTTCATCTAGCTCAAGCCATTTTTAATGAAAAATTAAGGATTAAATTTTTATTTTGATTAATTTAATTTTGAAGATTTCAAATTTTATTGAAACACAATATAATTATCTTTGAATAAAATATTTGCCAACGTATTATTTCATTCTGAATGGTTCTAATTAAAATAAGTCTAATAATTTTTCGCCATAGAAATTTATAAATCAGTAATATAAATAAGTCTAAAAAAATAAAAAAGAGACAAGTAACATTCTAAATTGAGTCGCTTCACTTATATTTTTAATTTCATAGAAATTATTCATACCACCCTAAACTACCGTTGTTATTATCATCATTGATATCATAGCTGGCTGGAATAGACATCTCGGATGCATTACTCCATAAATGCCATTTTGGTTCTTCTATGGATACTGTCCTTTAAATTGCAAAATTAATATAAAATAATGATAATAATCACTTTTTTAATAATTATTTCAAAAATCTATGATCTTATAAAAATAGAGTAATCATTTGATATTTACGCATCAAATATAATTTTGCAAATTCCATGTTATCCCATACAACATTTCATTCTGGTGATAGTAATTACCCTGCTTCTTGAAGTTGCTTGAGGTATAATTTTAAGAATTCATCATTCTGATCAATTGTTAGCCCTTGTTCAATCATTTGTCTTCGCTTGAGCAATTGTAATATGTCGGTATGACGGAATTTCCGACCAAAATAATGAATTTTCTGGATGTACTGAATGCCAACCAAATCGATGCACATTGTTGTCACGGCAAGGCCAATTCCCAAGTACACCAACATGAGCGGTACATATCTTCAAATGAACTGATAATGTTTATATTAGTTCGATCAGCAGGAAGCAAGAAATTCCTTATATTTATTCAAATCTTTAGGTTGCTTCTTCAAATCCAAATATTTTTCCTGTTTTCTTTTTCTCCAGGTGGAAGATTCCATTTCGGATAATACAACCGCTTCAATGCTATATTAAATCATCTTTTAAACTCTAAGTCGAAAAATATATTATATATTAGATTCGTTGAAAATTATTGTTTTTATTTTTTGAAAACAAATTAAGCAAAGAGAGCTTGAAATTTATTTATCAAAATTTTTTCTTTTAAAAATATTTTCATGCTGGAAATTATATTTTACAATATGCCTATCTAATTAATTGGTATTAATTATTATAAACTTTGAAATTTTAGTTACGCCGGCAAAAGTTTCAATCACAAATAGAGCAACATACTCTTGACTTTCAGGCACAAGATCGCCAAATCCAATTGTAGTTAGCGAAACAAAACCTGAAAGAAAAGAAAATTAATCATACATCTTTTTCTCTGAGTCACCGTAATTTTTAAAATAAACTTGAAAAATTAATTAAATGAGCAATTATGTTCGTGACATTGGCATAAGCAGAAATGCACAAAATAATCCGAAAAATATAGTTTGATTATAAGCGTGTATTCCGCTTAATCATTAATTTGGAATAATGAAGACAAGTATCTGTGAGCAGTATAATCAACTTTGATGGCAAAATTAGAATAAACAATCAAAATTGATTAGGCTAATAATGGTGTTATTAAACAAATTTCATGAAAGTGATATTTCAAACTTGAAATTTATACTTACAAAAATAAAATGCGTCCGTATAAGTCCATGGCTCAAACGAAGCAAACAGAAAGCCGCCAAAGGCAATGTAAAACTGAAAAGTGAGTGAGTAATAAGAATGACAATCATGATTATTTATTGATTCTATTTCCTATTAAATACATGGTAATTATAACTAAAAGTAATAGCCATTGGGCATATATTCATTAAAAATTAGGAAGCATATTACAGCAGCCTATCATTTTAATTTATAGTATTATATTAAACAAATTGATTTTGTGGTCATCCCAATTTAGCGATCTCTTTTTACGTTTTTCAGAATTTGCAGTTCCGATCATTCGGATCTCTAAAATAAAAGAAGCGGAAGAAAAAGAGAAAAGGATGATAGTAACTGAGATGATTTCACATTTCACTACAACCTAACGATTATGATTAAATGGAATTTTTGAAAACTAACAAGAAGTATGGTAAGGACTAAGACTAAAGGCACTTTTGTTTTATCCAACGCATCATTCCAATTTAATAATTGTTTCACCGCTTCATTGGATTTTTCCGGCGATCTCAGTTCTGGATTGCCTAAAAGAAAGAAAGGAGAATGAAAGAAAAAAAATTTTATCTCTAATAAATAAATTCGATATATTCAAACTGGTATCAATTATTACTAAAAAGTTTTATGGTTTCAATTCAATTTCAATATTCCAAATGAAATTTCCAAAGTGTTACATTGAGTGATTTTGCTGGTGGTGGAATTGATATTATGATAAAATATAAATGTAAATATAATCAAAGTGATATATGATGTGCTGCGAATATGCTATATTATTACATATAAAAATATATTTCAAGTGATAGATCACTTTCTGATTCACTTGAAAATATCCCACGATAATTAATGGTATATATATGTATCGTAAAAAAATTGTAATTAAAATTTATATTAAATTTTGATTCATTGATTCTTTCTATCCTAACGGAAATGCATAATGGTTTTCGAATACCAGAGAAAAAAAAGTGAAGAAGGGATAGCAGAATGAATCAAAAGGAATATTTCCTGGATATTAGTGAAATTTCTTGCGATAATATTTCACAAAAAGTATTGGAAAGTTACATAATTATATTCCAATTATGCTGTTCAAAAAATATGAATAAAACAGTAAAATTTTTAAAAATTGAGATTCAAACTCAAGTTTGAATGTGTAAGTAGAAGAAAAAAATACATACTGTTATTTAATTTATCTGTTATTTAAGAAGTATAATTAAATAAAAAGAAACAAACGAGCAGTTCTCAATTTTAAACTGATAGAATAACGTTTCAACGAAAAGCGAGATTTTTTCATCTTAGTGTAAAGCCATATTGTACATTCCGATAAAAATTTGCCGAGGTCACCAATCGTTATAATAGCCAGCGGCACACCAAATAATGCAAATATAACACAGGCAATGCGTCCATGTGATGTTATCGGTACAATGTTACCGTAACCTAAAAGTTATACCTAAAATGCATCAAATTTATCTGTTATTTAACAAGTTTTTTGATTGCAAGAAAAGTAGAAGAAATAAGAGGCACAGTCGTTAAATTAAATTATGAAAATGTTACTATCAGCGAATATTTTTTCATTAAGATATGCAATTTGGGAGATTGAGGATATAATTAATTAATTTTAAAATTGGAAAAAACTGACCACTAAATTGATAAAATTTTCTTCTTCCACAATAATCCTTTAAAAATTTTGTAAACTCAAAATTGGATGATGATTTTGTGTACGATATGGTGCACTCACCGATGGTAGCCATTGTTGTTGCTGCAAAAAATATAGCGCTACTTGCCGTCCATAATTTTTTGCTTCTAATCGATTTTGATCCATGTTTTGATTTTTTCCTAAAAAACAATTTGCCTTTGTTTATAATTATATTTTAATGATCAAAAGTTTAAATTACATCAATATTTCTTAGCTTTTTTGTTGAATTTTTGCTTTAAACAATATTTGTATTCAGTGATATACCATAGCATTATCAATAATCAAATAATATCGTTCTTTTTAAATTACGGTTGATTCTAAAGTATTAGTTCACTTAGACAATTTTTTTACATAAATAAATTTCAGATATCCAAATTACAAGCGACCACAAAATTTACCTATACCTTCTTATTTTCGTATTACCGCTGCGTTTGTCGATATTCGTTTTGAAAATGCGAATATCTGCATACCTGCAATGAATTTCTTTGTTTTTCTCTCACTTCATGATATTTTAATTTTTTGCAAAACTATTTTTGGAAAATTAAATTCAAATTTCCAAAATATCAATAATGAATTATTTTAGTAATAGACTTTCAATTGTTGAATGGATTTTTAAAATAATATCAATGAAACTTACCTAACATAATGTTCTTTGAAAGCTCTATACAAATACTCATTGAAAGTTTGAAGTTTTACGTCAGTTACGCGAGCCCAACTATCCATTTTGGTTCTTTTTAATTCTTTCCGTTTCATCCGTAACGTTTGAATTAACTCTTTGCGCAATTCATCAATTTTTTGTATACCAATTTTCTTCAACTGTAATAAAAAAATTCCAAAAATAACACCATGATCAAATGTTGTAAACGGTGAAATATTTGTTCAAAATGTCATTATTTATTATTTTTATTCATTGGTTAAAATTTCATAAGTTCAAAACTTCATGGATTAAATTTTTTATTCGAAAATTTGATAAGCCGAATAAAAACTTCAATGTTTCTCAGAGCTAATTTTCAAAGAAATATTCTGTAATGAAACCTTATCTTCATGAGGTGATTCGAGACTATAAAAGACCCACGCGCCAGCTATCGCATAGAAACATACTGCAGCAACCAGGATAACATGTGGTAAAACAAGTTTCATGTACTGAAAACTGTCAGAAGTTTGAGCTTTGATGTATGTCTCGAAAGCTATCCAACATATAACATTTATTTATTGATCGGCTAACCAATTTTCAAATACAAAACATTTTAATTTCTTAAGTAAATATTATTAGTTTAAATGTAGGAAAAAATATATATATTTCATTGAATTGATAAAATACCACATTATCACTATTTTATTCCTCTATCAGGTCGATAAAAAAATTACGATTTCGACTTAGTCCATAAATCGTTTTATTATACTTGAAATAGCCCATTGGAAAAGTTTTGCTCTAATTTATGAACTATTTGATTGCTAAAAAAATAAAATTGTATATCAGATTTCTCAATGAATTTATGCAATTCAAATTCTCTGGAGAAAAACTTAATTATTGCTGAGTAAGCCGAGAAAGACAAGGAATAGACCATAGTCCTACTACATATATATTTAAATGTGTACATAAGTGATTCATTCCATTTCGATTGCAGACAATAATGCTTCATGATTTATATCTAAACCTGGATAGCAAAACAATTAAATATATAATCTGCTGCCATCATGTGAGAAGTTTCACATCTTATATCATAAGAATGGAATTTATTTAATAAGTTGTGATAATGAGAAAAATGTAATGACAATGTCTGACAGTAACACTTAGCAAAAATCCGATATATATCTATATAATATTTAAATATGTATATATATAATATTTAAATTTTTTATCAGTACATGTATTTAATGTGTGTTATCTCCAGCATATCATTTTATATATCTTTTGATAAAAATATCACACTGTAAAATTATAATTTTTGCATAATTTATATTTGTATTATGTTGCAAATATTGTTAACTTCAAAAATTATGTGCAATTTAAAATCAAAAATTTTACGCAAAAAATAAAAGTTATATGAAATTTATAAAGAAAGGGAGAAGATTTTCAAAATAATTCTTAATTAGCTTTGATTAGACTCTTGATTAGAGTCTATTTTTCTGAATTCTGAAATTCAAATTACAGTTCGAAATTGTGATATTAGAAAACTTAGAAGCTTTGTCTCTATCGTAACAGCAAGAGAATGTAACGTACAGTGACGTGTTTATTGTGCGTACCATTTTAATTTAGTTTTGACGCAACGCAGAAATTAACTTGGCATAAAAATTCCTAAAATACCTTTTTACATGAAGACTCATCGATATTCTCTTTATCCTCCAAAAATTCAGTCAACTCTTCACACATAGCAATTTTCTGAAAACAAAAGGAAAAAGAATGAAATCAAAATTATTTCTAAGCATTAGTTTGTTGCGGAGATTTTGAAATTTGCACCGAATTTTATAAAGATTTAACATATAGATGAGCACAATATTTGATTCAAATAAATATGAAAACAAATTGGATCGGAAATAAATGAAAAAAGAAAGAATATTGTCAAATTTTTATTTTCAATTGTTTAAAATTTCAATGCATAATGGAACTTATAAATTTCATAACGAATAAAACTACAGGATTTTTTCTGAAATCGAAAAAAATTGTTTTTTGTCCTAAAAAAATTTCTATTTTAAACAATAAAAAAATAGACGAGGAAGTGACAGAAAGAAAAATTAAGCATGAGGATCCAGTAATGTATGTAAAATGGTTTTATTAGAAAAATAAAAATTTTTTATTCTATTCATAAAATGAAATATAAAGGAATAATAATAAGTTCCTTTATTGGAATTCATGAAAGAAATATTTTTTTATTGAATTAAAAAAATGCATTTTATTTCGATGAATTTTAGTGACGTTTTTGTTTTCCACCTCATTAACGGCGTTTGCTCTCATTTATTTAATCATTTTTTTGATTAATTACCGCACTGAATCTGTGCGTTTTCTTTTGATATGAAATGCTGGAGAGGCCAGAAACGAGTAATAAAACAGAGCAGATTTGCTTCAGTAAATTTCAAACAAACTGTAAAATAAGTTTTATCATTATTAGCTGATCAAAGTTCTATTTTGCAAGTTACAGTACTGATAATAAAGTTGAGACCAAAAACCAATGAAGGGATTTTAAAATAATGGAAGATTCGATTTTCTGATTCATATTAGATAGCTTTGAGAAGATGAATTTTAAGAAAACTGAAAAAAAAGACATAATACAAGAATTGGGCTAAAGTGAAGCAAGCAAGAAGGAACTTCAGAAAGATTTAAATTATAAAAAAGCAATATGAATTGTAAAATAAAACTGTACATTTGCAGGTGTAGTTTAACTTACATTTAGATATCATCTGTTCCGTTCAATAAATTTGCATCTTTGTTGAGAATTTGTTTTTTGTTTTTTCCTTTTTTTTTTTAAAGCTCACAATGAATTGGCTATGGCAAAGTTAATGAACTAAAATAAATTTTTCATTGTCCGAATTCTAAACTTTTGATAACTGCCATGATCTTTGGACTTCGTTATCGAATTTATGAGAATTTTAAAATGAAATTTGAATGGAAAAACAATCGATGAAGGAGACATGCTGGAAAATAGGAATGGTAAGGATTGAATAACTGGTGAAAAATTGATAAAGCATAATTCAAAAAGAAAAGGAAATCAAACAACTTTAATTGGACTGAAGATAAAAGTTCACTCTATAATGCCTGCAATTCAATATTGCATGTAATCGTCATATACGGTAGGTAAATGGACAATTGATATCACAGGTGATAATATTGATAAACGAACTTGTCAAGAAAATGCAACTTTAGCTAAATACTTTATCTATCGATTGAGTGGTGGAATAATCAGCGATGAATATTGCGTGACAAAGGCACCCAAGACTGACATTCACTGGAAGGCCCGGTTTGAAAATCTTAGAGCTAACTGAGAGTTAGAAGAAGGAAAGGCGCATAACAGCTGAAATATTCGATATTCATCTTTTGTTGGTAAATTGATCAGAAGAGAGCTTGGAAAAAAATGTCCCCAAGGATTATAATTGTCGCTGGAATAGTAGTTTGTAGGAATTTAAAGGAAACACACAAACTGAAATAGAAGGAAGGAAATACTTCTACAATTACTATGCACCACCCAACACTGAAAGCAATAAAACACATGAATTTTATGTACTTCGTGACATCGATCAGTTCGATATGTGAGAAAGTTTCCTTCAAAAACTTTGCATAGTACGATTGTTTGTTAGCCAATGAATACTTTTCTTTCTCATTGCTTGGCCTTAATCGTTGAAAATGTAAAATAGTAGGACTGAAAAAGTTATCAGTCATAAGCTAAATTATGATATCATTAAATACATTTAGGTATGGAATATGCATGAAATCTTTGCTTTCAGATTTAAATTAAAATTTAAACGAAAAGGCCAACTTAATTACATTAAAAAGATTGATTTGGATAAATAAAAGATAGTGATAGGAAAAACTATCATTTCATTTGTTAATTTTTAATTATAAAAAGTTACGATTAATTGACTTGGTAATTAGCAACAATCTTTGAATCCTAAAACAATTTAACGCCGAAAACCGCACATCTTTCTATCTAATTAATTAGCTGCACTAAAATTAAGTGCACTCAGTCGTTTGTTGGATGTATTTTAATGTGTGTAGTAGACTTGTTAAGATATGAGAAAATATTTTTTAAGTTCTTTTAGAAAAGTAATTGATGATTTATGATGAATATAATATGTCCACTTACTATTGGCATCACGTATTAGCTACATGAAATGATAATGATAATAATTGGCAGTGTATCATGGTTACGAGTACTCGTGGCAGATAATATACGTGAAATGTTGTGGGAAAAGAATATAGAAGATGAAAGAAGAAAATTTTTCGGTTATTCATGTCATCAATTTGCCATTGAAGGGGTAATAAATAATATTAACTGCGAAATTTAAAAATAACTTTTGATAGAATAGAATGAACAATAGTAGTACTGATTTGGTATCAATCATTTCTGACAATACGAACCAGAGAAGAAAGCAGTGCATGGGCTAGTCAAATAGACATATGATAAATTGTACAAAACGAAGAAAAATGAGTGGAAGAATTGGGAAGGACAGGAAACTTTTTTGAATAATAAATCGGAGCAAATTATGAGTATAATAAAGCTGAAAGTTGCAAGGAGTCCACGATATTCCATCCACCAAATGTTGCATTTGTCACAAAAGAAAGAAAGAGACAGGATAAGTGATGTTTATCTATATTATATGCCAAGTAAACAGCATATTCTACATAATGTAATGAGATTTTAACTATTTTTGCAAAATTAGAAGCTGAAATCTTACTTCCTACCTTTCTTCCATCTATTATATTCATAATTTGCTCCGATTTATTATTCAAAAAAGTTTCCTGTCCTTCCCAATTCTTCCACTCATTTTTCTTCGTTTTGTACAATTTATCATATGTCTATTTGACTAGCCCATGCACTGCTTTCTTCACTGGTCCGTATTATCAGAAATGATTGATACCAAATCAGTACTACTATTGTGAATAATCGATTACAGGATAGAAATTAATCTGTTTATTGAGTCATGGGAAATATGAAACAATTAAATAAATAAAAACAAATAGGATTGAAGTAAAAATTCACAGAACTATAATTTATAGTTGTGATTGATTACTTGAATATTTGATTATGAGTTTGAGCTGTTATTCAAGCCTGCAATTATTTTGTAGAGTATTTTTCCCATCCTTTCCAATCCATCATTATCATCCATCGTTGTAATCTCCGAGTTGAATATTATCGTATTATATTGTATCCAAGAATTAAGCAAAATCTATCTTTAAGCCAAATTTCAAATCTCAAAAATGCAATAAAATGAGTTGCATTAAAAGTCAACACTTTTTTTTATGCATCATAAGCATAAATAACAATAAATTTGGTCAGAATCTCATAGCTAAGCTTTCCATTATGTATTTCCAATCCTTTCTGTAAATCAAAAGTAGAAGAGACAGAATAGGTTAAAACTGGAAATTAAAAACATTTGTACAGTTTTGATAAGAACACTATTGGTGTCATTTTCTAGTCCACCAATCAGCTAATCACTTAATTAATAAGTAAAAGAATAAATGGAAGAAAGCAATGCAAAAAAGAGCTGCATAATTCACTAGAACAAACTAATTTTCATTTTAAAGAGCAACAAAATTTTAACACAATATTTAATTCAACATCAAAAAACCAGAATAGCAGTCAAAAAATTGCATGATTTCAATAAAAATGTTGGGAAATTGAAAAAATTTTTGGAGAAAAAATTATTATATAACTATATAGCGCTAATTATAGTAAATAAATCTCAAAAAATTGAGAAAGAAATTTGAAACCAATAAAAAAATCAATGAAATGTAAAACATTTTATACAAGGAAATAAGAGAGTGAAGCATTTTTGCTTCAAGCATCCTCCACCTGTCCTTCTTCTTAATTGCCCAAATAATTTAAATTCATCGTTTTAAAATTTCAAAAGTCATTGTTCATATTGTGACAATGAAATAATTCAAATTGAAAAGAAGAATTTACATTTTATTATCGGATAGGTTTCTGCTTGGGAGTTTTATTGTTCAAAAGTTTATTGACAAAATATATTTCTTATTTATTATATACCGGATTAGATCAATGTGTTTTGCTCCATAATATAGTTAAAATTGGCAAAAGAGAAAGGGGAAATTAAACTTTATGTATCCCAAAAAAATCTAAATTTCAGTTTAATGATTTTAATGTCCCAAAGGATTATACCCGATGAAATTTTTTTTTTATTTATTCTATCAAAGATTTTTATGGCATTTTAAAGACCAAACTATTGAAGTTTGATTAAAATAGGAAAGAAAGGTTCGACTGATAAAAATTATAGGTATTCAAATTTTTATGCGAACAATTTAATTTAAAAGAAATTAAGAGAGAAGAAAAGGGAGGAAATTAAATGGGCGTATATTTCTCAAAATGATTCATTGTCATTTTGCATGGAAGAATTTTAAATATTAGCTATAAAAAAGTGATTTTTTCTTCTCATTAAATCATGTTTTGTCTTTCTGCGATTTTGAAAATAGAAGAAATTAGTCTTTTTCTCAATTTTGCGTTTGAAAAAAAATTTCAATATTGAAAATGAACTTACTCAATTGTTTTTATAGAAATCTTCAAAGACTTTAAATATTGCAGATTATTAAAATAAATAACGGTTGGCATCATTATCAATCCATTTAGTCAATGTAGGATATTTTAAGATGTAAATAAGAAATCAACTATGGGATTTAATATTGAACGATTGCTTATCATGACACTTAATCTCATGAAATGATCATAATTTAAAAATTTTACTCTAAAATCAAACAGGAAGAAATGATTAAATGAACTAGAAATGATTGCATTTAATTAGTTCGGAACGGTTTTAACAATTTCTATAATACACTACTAAACATAATTAATTAAGCTTAATTTATTTTTTCATTAATTCTAATCTCCAAAAATGGAAGTCGATTTTGTTTTTTTTCTCAACTGACAATCAATTTCTTGCCTTTCCAGTTCATACTGAATGAAAACGATTACATAAAAAACTCAATTACATCTAGCTTGACTTTGTTCTTCTTTTTTTTCAAAAAAGAGATATTTGAGTTAATTTTTTCTAGCGATTAAAATTATTGTAACTGCATAAATTATTCAAAATTCCTTTCACAATTGGAAAGGAAGTAAAGGAATTGAATTTACAATCGCTCTTTTTTGCTTTCTGTTAGTGTCTGCAATATATGAAATAACGATAATGATGTTTTCAGACGAAGTGGCAAAATGTTAGTTAGTTGAAAAATTTTGTTTGTTTTTTTCTCAAATGGAGAAACATTGATTCCAGGCTTGCTAGGCATAATTTTTTAAAATAAAGGGAGAAAGGGGTAGAAAATAAGATATTTTTTGGAGCCTATTTTCTAAAATTGCTATATACATATTTTTTAAGAGAAGAGAAATGAAGAGAGAAGTTTTAGCTCTGAATTTGTCATTTTAAATGTTAATGTTTCCTGATTGTTTTGCTATTTTCTTTAAATAAGCAATTTATGTTTTTTCAAAGAATGTAATTTACTGTTTAGTTTGATTTGCTTTAATTCCTATTTTTCTCTTAAACAATACATACGTTTTAAGAACTGTAAGTTTTTTTTGCCGATTCTGATAAAAATATCAAAAAGTTTTTACTAAATAAATTTTTTGAATTATTTATAAGAGATATTAATTCATCTTTATAATTTTTTCAAAATGTATACACTATTCATACATGAATTTTTTAAACAACACAATAAAATATTTCCACCGAAATAATCGCAGTTGTTATCGTTGTTATTGTTGCAGAATAAACTGAAATTAATAATTTTGTTTGATGAAATAAATTAGTTAAAATTGCAATTTTTCACATAAAATTTCTCATTCAATTTAAGTTGAATTCTTCAAAATAACCTTTAAATTTATCAAATTTATGATTAAAACTTTTTTGTTATTAAACTTTTAAATTATGGCAAAATAATAAAATTTGTTAATGCTAACGAACAAACCTTTCATTTTTTATCTCACATAACTTGAATAAATGACACTAAGAAGAAGAAAACGAAATTTTTTTTTCAAACATAATTTGTAAAATTTGGAAAAATTCATCGTGCTCTCATATTTCTTCCATAATCTAAAATGTAATAATTTCTTTGAAGTTAAAATTAATTTAATGTAATAGACAAATATTAGAAAGTCAGAGATGCAGAATAATTTCAGAATGAAGTATATATGTAATCACGAAATGATACGTGAAAGAAAATTCATGACTTTTTTTTCATGAAAGGCGCATAAAGTTCATTAAACAATCTAACAATACAATTTAATCAGTAGCAACTTAATCTATAACTCTACAACTTAATCAGTAGCAATATAAATGACTTTTAAATGGGCTAATTGAAATGGCGTTTGAGAGTGAATGCGTAATGTCTCTAATAATGCATAAGTTTGAAAAATTTATACAAATCAATATATTTAAGCAAAATAAATTAAGCTTAGAATTACGTATGTGTATATTTAAAAAACTGCCATTAAAACGTCGGTAATTTATAAAAATTGTCTCTCTTTTTTTTTACGAAATTAATTGTATGACCATTTCACATCAATCATTTTATGCATGAATCAAAAAAACTTGATAATCTTAGATATATATTATTTTTCACAAAATTATTTTCCACAATAATAAATACTTATTGTTAATTTTTAGTTAGTTTTTCAATTTCTTATGCTAATCATTTATATCTGATAGCTCAGAAATGAATGGGAAATAAAGTTAATTGAAAATATTAAATGATCAAACAAATGCATTCACATATAAAATGTTTTATTTTATTTAAAGAGATATTTTTGCATGATGCATGACAATGAAAAATTGCAATGATATGTTTAATCGATAAAAAGCTTAACAAATAAAATTGAGCAGAAAAGAATGAAACAATATTAATATGAATCCAAGATGTCACCTAAAAGATTTTAATTAATTCAAGGAGTCATTAACTTTTAAAATGATAATGTAAAAGCTATTCATTCATATCTCAAATGAATAGCTTTTACATGATCATTTTAAAAGTTAATGATTTCCTGAATTAACTAAAGTTGTAACCTGTAACTACCTATTAAAGTTACAGGTTACAAATTTCAACTGTAACCTGAAAAAAGCTACAACTTTTACTCGCTCGATATTTCCATATTGCTTGAACGATTATGAATAACAATACAATAATTGAATCTGAAATTTTCTTGAATAGTTTTGTTAGGTACTACTTACTAATTAATAGGTATTAATTACCTCCATCATTTTTACATACTTTAAATTCGAGGGAAACTTTCTCTTCCTCAACTCTTCCATGTTATCTGATCAGTAATGAATAACATAAAGAACTTCTAAAACATCCTAGAAATGAAAAAGAAAGTGAAAAAAAAGGAAGAAAAAAATCAATTGTATCATATCAGTAAAAAAAGTAAAAGCTTATCTTATATCTAAAATATTTTATTACTAACATTGATGAAGCGTATTCACAAAAAAAATGGAAAAATTTGCTAATTTCTGATACGAATGATTTATCAAATTTTAGCATTACAAAAATATTTTTTAAAAAGGATGATCACAGTATCCTAATAGAGCGAAGATATGGAGAGGATAGGATTAAAATTGGGAGATAAAGACAGGAAATTAGAAGATGAAGATATGGTAGAAATTTCAAACTATTTTTTGAAATCTTAATTATTCAGACGGAAAAGGAAAAGGGAAAGAAAAGAGAAGAAAAATATTGATTTGATTAATCAAATATCCATCACGATAGGTTCTTAGCATTTTTATCATTGCATATATTTTTGCATTCTAAACTAGATTATATAAATGGTTTTGGACTTTTTTAAAATTCATTTTCATTGTAATCTTTTTTCATATTCTACTTTAATGATAGCTTAGGATTTGTTTCCGGCTCATAAAACACGTTATAGCTGACTAAATCATTTTAATAAAATTTTTTTAAATACTGATTTAATGATATTTTTTGATTATGCAGATCTGATCTTGTCTATTATTAATATAACTATTTCAATTTTATTCGTTAGACATGCTAATAGATTGAAAATAAAATGTTAAAAACATGCTCATACTTTTTATTAAGTGTTTTTCCTTTTCGCGGAACATGGGATATATTAACTTTCGACTTCAAGGTTCCATATTCAAGAGCAGTAAGAAACGTAATAACTCAAAACTTATTGTACTCAGGTCTAAAATATTGAAAGTAGTTCCAGCTGGTTCCGAATTTCAGGCTAACTCTCAAATCAACTTTGAAGGCTATCAAACTCTTACATTTCTTAATCCTTAGCATAGAATTCTCCTACAGCTCCTGATTATTTGTCTCAATCATTTTGCAACTTCCATAATCTTGATCAATCACTACACTACTGCATGAGTTTCAGTACACCTCGAATCAATTCAAATCCATATGATTTATAACAGATGGTCGAATATCTAATCAATGCTTACTATTCATTTCGAATTACTAGCATGTAGATGCTTTAAGTTGGCAGTGACCTTGCTTTTCTATGCTAGGTAGATCTAGTTTCAAAACTTCAATACCAAATTAAGAACTTTGAGAAGCCTGAAGGGAATTCAAGCTCAAGTTCCAACCCACACTCCACCTCACACCCGAATTCCACCGCTGGCATTCTGTTCCCAAACTCGTTGCTTATCAACTGACTATTTCGCAATAACAATTGCATAGATCGTTTCATGCAACACGTTTGCAACGATTTGCCTTCTCCAATAACCTTCATTCTGCCGACGCTGACTTTCTTGGTTTCGGTGTTTTTGTTGAGTCCCATCATCTCTGCCGCTGTTGTGATTAATTATGCTATTAATTGTTATCATCTCTCTGCTAACTTCTTCGTCTTTAGTTCTGCGATTAAAAAGTCGTGTGTCATTACTGTGTTAATTATTAGTTATTATCAGCGCTTAGTAGCAATGAAAAACTTTTGATAAAGTATTCAAAATAAAAATAATTCTCAGAAAAGAGAAACGACTAATTATTTCTAGTTTTTCAATAACCAACTAGTTTTTCTGACATAATCTTCCATAGTCCTTAGGCAATTTTTTTCCAACTTGAGAAAATTAATATTATTATAATGGGATAAAAATTATCTCGCCAGTCACAAAATTTGAGCTCTAATTGAATTTTGATTTGTACTGATCGGCAAATATTTTAGATGTTCAATCATTTTTTATGCTTAGTTAAGTTGATTATCTTGTACTAATCAGTCAGCACTTTTATAATTTTGATTAGCTTGTAATAAAATTATAAAAGTGCTGACTGATTATCAGGCAAATAGTCAAAGGCTATAGTAGACCCTATGGTAGTAATTATGATTATTGTCATTAGCAATATTAAGTAAAACAGATCAGTATAGGGACACGAATGAATAAACATTGTGACATGAGCAAGCTTTTAGATTGCTAATGTTAGTTGTTGTTGTTCATTATTTTTAATATTTATTTTCAGTATCAAATTAAATTCCACAAAATGTCGCCAATGCCACCTGTTGTGATGGTTTCGAATCGGGAGGAGGATTCTGTGAATACCGAGCCATCGATGAGCGGTCGACAAGTTATCGGAATTATTTATCCTCCACCAGATATCAGAAGTCAGTGCACCCTTATTAATATATTTGAGTAAATGACAACATCAAAAATCAGTGTTTTTTGTCACTTCATTATATTGTCAAGTATGCAATAAAAAATGTTTTTCGTACAACATATATTAAACGAAATTTACGTTAATCGATGCTAACATTTTTCGTATTTTTCTATTTCCTTAAACTGTAAACGGTAAATAATGCTACTGAGATAATGCTACCCAACAAAAATCCTTTTTTTTCTAGCAATTGTTGACAAAACAGCAGCATTTGTTGCCAGAAATGGAATTGACTTCGAGAATAAAATTAGAGAGAAAGAAGCAGCTAATTCACGATTCAGCTTTCTGAGTGCAACGGATCCGTATAACGCTTATTATCAACACAAAGTTGTAGAATTTCGGGAAGGGAAAACTACAGAACCGTCGGTTCCGGTAAATTTTCATTTCCTCTTCAATTTTGAATATTTGTAAAAAAGTCGAAATCATAATACTTTATTCATATACTTAATAAAATATTTAATAATCGAAAATACTTTAGAATTGAATAATATAACGAATCAAATGGAGAGATTTGAGGAATGGTGAAAGTAGTATAGTGTATGAATAAATGAAACATTATTTCGGATATGATAAAAATAGAACTTATTTTTGTGTACCCATATTACACCGAATAAAGTATTGCATGATACACATATTAGAATTCGACAGATTGTTGTGGTTTTATGATTTATTTTCAAATCCATATATCTTTTCTGGTTTCAATTTTGAAATATGTTTAGCGACCACAAATACCAGAAGCAGTAAAGGAACACGTGAAGCAAGTAGAGTTTGTGCCACGAAATCCTCCACCTCCATTCGAGTTTGACGCTGATCCGGCTACAATAAATGCATTTGACTTGTAAGTTCAGTTGTGATTTTATTAAAATTTGTAGATAATGGAAACGTACGTGAGTATTTATTGATATCATCCGAAAGTATTTTAGGGATTTGATCAAATTAACGGCATTGTTTGTGGCACGTAATGGACGACAGTTTCTGACTTCACTGATGAATCGGGAGTCGAGGAACTATCAATTTGATTTCTTGAAGCCGCAACATTCAAATTTCAATTATTTTACGAAACTTGTCGAGCAGTATACGAAGGTTTAGTTGCATATTGAAAATGAATTTTGATCTGACACTTCACCTAAATTCGGATTTAATTATTTCAGACTTGAATTTGTCTATTTTATTTAGTTTGATATATTTTAGTTCAAATAATCTTTCAACTTACATATTTGCACAAATGCATTTGCATTCATCTTTTGTTCTTACCTATATATTAAACTAGAATAGGAAACATCAAATGATTCTTAGCGAATTTTATAATCTTTTATACTTTTTGGTTGTATTCAGATCATTGTTCCTGCAAAAAATATTGTGGAAGATTTAAAAGCTGAGGAAGATAATACGAAAAAGATTCTTGAAAATGTGAGATATAGGGTTGGTTGGGAGAAACATCAACGAGCGCAGAAGGAGAAGGAGGATGCTGAGGTTAATAAATTTCATTCTTTGACTGTAGTTAATCAGGTTAATATTGCAATATTGAGTATTTCTCATCTTTAAAAATATTTAAATTATTCTTTCTGTCCCTTCAAAGTTGTTAGGTTTTCAATTTCTTAATCAAAAAAGAATACTTGGAGATGATGCAATACCGATTCATATACAAGATTGTTACCATATGTTTACTTTTTTATCGACAGATTGAGAGAGAACGAATAGCTTATGCACAAATCGATTGGCATGATTTCGTTGTTGTTCAGACTGTCGATTTCCCTATCAACGACACAGGTGATCTTTATTAACGTTAGAAAATGAACTCGAAAAAGATTTTTATATGTTGCGCTAGTTGTTATTAAAATTTTAGGGTATGGTGAATAAAACTATGTTGATTATCTCTCTTTTTCTTGTAGACAGATGTGTTTCAGTTGTGACTTGCATCTTTTACTAGTAGTATGTCTGTCACTAGAAACAGGCCAAATTTCCTTCTTAGCTATGTTTACTAGTTTATTATCTGTTGTTAGTAAGATGGATGATACGTCTCAACCAATTTTTTTAATGCTAATATTTTTAAAAACTTGCCGAGAATTATTTATGAAGTTAAAATAGAGCGCAAAAAGTATCTTTTATTCGCTACCATTCCCGAAACTTAAGTGGATGTAAATTCTGAGTATTGTTTATTATTGCATAAATTTTTCTGTATTTTGATTATCTGCATGATTACTGTTTTTTAGATCTGCAAAGTGTTTGACACGATACTCTATAAGTTCCATAGTTGCTTGATCTGTTCTACGTTAGTATTTCACTGAAAAATGTTGAAAAGCAAAGTTTTTTTTAGCCATTTATTTTGTTATTGTCTTCATTAATTTCAGCAACCTTACCACCATTCTGTACACCCAAAGATGTTGGAGCAAGAATTTTGATGCAACAACGACAGGTAGAGTAAATTTTTTAATTGATAAAGAATGATAAAACATAAAAATGAATGAATCGGCTTAAATTGATTTATGTATTTTAGGAAGCAGCAGCTAAAGCAGCTGCAGAACAAGCGGTAGAGATGGACGTTGAATCAGACTCCGATGAAGAGCACCAAGAAATTCGCAATGAAGTAGGTGTTTCAATATTAATTCGTTATAATGCTTGGCGTGATGCTACATATAAATCCCTGTTCTATTAGGATATTTTAAAGGATAAGAGATATCCCCTCATTCAAAAGCATCTCGCAAAATGGTTTAGAATCAAAGAAATGTATAGTATACAACAACAGATATCCTGTTTCTTAAGTTTTAAAAGTAATTTTTCTTTCTTGACTACCACATTGCTTTTTCATGAATTATTTCCTTTTATATTAAAGCATTTTTCATTGTTATAATGATAGTTTGGAGCTAAGTTAAATGGCAAGTTCGTAGAAATTCGAAATTTATTTAGTTATCGTAACTATTGACAGACAGTTTCTGAAATAAGGTCGAAATCATACGAAATTGAGGATTACTTAATAAGAAAGATTTAAACTATATGAAATAACATTGATATCTTTAGGTTACAAATGGTGAAATAGAAAATGGTAATGCCGACCACGAGAAGAAAGCTCCATATGAAGTGACTCAACCGATGCCTGCACCGCCATCGGAAGATACAGTTGTAATCAGAGATTATGATCCAAAGAAATGTTTGTTTTTACTTTTTATTTTTTATTTTTAGAATTCATGTTTGACTATGTATGCTCAATTTGATGAAATTATCTTTTTTTGCTGCAATCACAACCTTTAGAGATCTTTTAAGATATGTAGCATGAGGGATAGGAAGAGCAGCAAGGAAAGAGATTTGCGAAGTGGGTCTAGAAAAAGCATTTTTATATAATTTGGGACTATGAAAAATAGGCTTTGATCAACTGTCCCCGTTTCCCTTTTTATTCGTGTGTGACGACCTTTAAAATTATAAATTATGAGTTATTTTAAATTTTGACAGTAGTCTTCGAACCAATTCAATTTCAGCAATAAGTGCACGAAAAGCTGCTGATAAGTGGATTATTTCACCTCTTACTGGTGAGCGAATACCTGCCGATAAATTACAGGAGCATATGCGTTACAATACTGTTGATTCGCAATATAAAGAACAACGAGAAAGGTTATCTGTAACAAACAAATTTTTGTAGAACTTGTCTTTAATCTAATCTTGATTTACTGTTTCTTGTTCAGGGAGTTGTCGGATCGCAATGAGGAGGAACCAGTTTATGCGCCAGGTGCTGATATTAGTACAAATATTGGTAAGTTTGCAGAACGCCGTACTGATATATTTGGTCATGGTGCAGAGCAGACGATTATTGGTAAGAAAGTAAGTTTGTAATTTTGGATCATTTCATTACTTAGTGAGGTATTTAATTTACTTTTAATAACTCAAATGATCAGTCGAATCTAAAATTGCGATCGACTGATCATATGAATCATTAAAAGTCTTTCCTTTGAGTTATTAAAAAAAATTTTTTCATTTGAGCTGTTTTAAATCAATATTAAGGTAATGTTTATAATAGTGTTGGTATAAAATAAAATTAATAACTACGGAGCATTCTCTGTATATGACGACCTCGGAATTAAAAAAGATAAAGAAGATGTTCTTGCATCATATGTTATTTTCAGCTTGGTGAAGAAGAAGAGGCACCGCGTGGTCCTGATCCTAAGCTTATCTGGGATGGTCAGCAGTCTACAATCGATCAAACAACAAAATTAGCTCAGCAAAGCGTTACATTGGGTATTTTTTAATGTAAATTTGGTGAAAATATTAAAATAATCGCCGACATTTCGAAATCAAGTAGTAGGTTATGCAGCACGTAACAAAAATCCGAAGGTTATGAAGAATACAACTACAAAAGTGATGAGTCTGCCATCAATAATCCATCAAAAATTAGCTTAAAAAATTATTAATCAATCAGTATTTAAAAAAAGGTTTCCAGAAGAGTAAGCTTATGTGAAAATCATTTTTCAGACCAACAAATCAATGAAATTCATAAGCAACATGGATATATTGCTGATCCAAGCAAGGAAAGAATAGGACCAGGTGCTATACCACCTCCTCCAGTTCAAGCAGTTCCACCACCAACTACGACAGTGGTAGCAACAGCGGCAGCTACAACGTCGTCGCCTGTCACTACTGCAGCCAGCATAACAGCACCAACTGCTGCCGTGCCAAAACCGTCCGTTCCTACTCCACGCCCGCCAGTGCCACCTCCACAGACTACATCAGCTCCAGTACCACCAACCCAAACCGTTCGGCCACCAGTTATTCCTCAAATCCCTATTCGACCACCACCACCTGGGTTTGTAATTGTTCTGTTTCGTGTTGTTTTGGTAATTATTTTTGTTTCATGTTTTTATCCTTGAATATTACTGGTCAGAAATTGCAACGTTGAGAATTTGTTTTCCTGTTTTTTTTTCGAGGTTCTTGGATTGCATGCCAAATTAGTGACGAAAAACAGTGGAGCAAAAATGGGAAGTCTCGAAATATTATATAAAAGATGTGAATGAACAATTTCAGGTTTCCTGCGATACCTTTTCCAGGTGCACCTATGCCAATGCCACCGATGCCAATGCCTGTTATGAGAGTTAGTTCATTTTAATTACACTCTCCATTTTCCTTTTTTCAACACAAAATTCATGCTCTTTTTTTGGTCAAAACTTAGTTTCTAAAACTTATTTTTCAGCCACCAATTGGAGTTCCGATGATACCAGTTCCGGTAATTCCACAAACGCCACTTGCCGTTCGTCCTACTAGTACACCGGTAGCAGCGCAAATTTCACCTCCTGCAACTTCATCTGCTCCTGTAGTTGATACAAATGCAACTACTAATACTTCTGTTGGAGATGGACCTCCGCCTGCGAAAAAGGCTCGAACAGAAGATGAGCTTGAAAGTGAAGCTGATTGGCTTACGAAGGTATTTGTATATTGCTTGAGGCTTTTCATTTGACTTTAAAATTTTAAATGCTTTAGATTTCTGAAGTCATTGATTTCCGGCATAATTAGTAGTGAGTAATGAGCTGTGATCATAACTCAAAATCATTAATTGTAAAACGCTTGAAATTCTATATGCAGCAGTAACGAAAGAGTTGTATTATTACAGTCATAATGATATTACCTAGGTCACCGGGTCAATCACAGTTACTGTCCAGATACCGAGCACTGCTCCTAATCCGGACTGGAAACTTGATGGGCGACGATTAAATGTTTCTTTGGACATTGCTGCACCGGTATATTCAAATTTGCATTTGTTAATTTTTGCTGATCAAATTTGGGAATTTTTAGAAATTAAATAAATTTTAGCTTTCTGGATTTTCAAATTTTTTTCAAATAAGGAAAATGTAAGTTCAGGTTTCTACGCTGAAAAGTTTTGTACAAGATGAAACTGGATTACCGTGTTCAAAGCAGAAGTTGTCATATGAGGTAAGTTCTTCTGATATATGTGGGACTCAAGAATAAAATTTGAAAATCTTTAATATATTCAAATTCTGCTTATTCAAGTACCTTGTTTTTATCATTCTCTTTCCAGATGTTTTTTCCACTTAATTAAATAGTATCGATTGCAGGGGTTGTTCTTGAAAGATGCCTGTACATTAGCCTATTACAACATGAATACCGGAGCTGTCGTACAATTATTAATCAAGGAGAGAGGTGGTAAGAAGAAGTAATTAGGGAAAGAACATGATTAATCTTGTATTTTAACTTCATTTAATCATTTGTTCCAAATTTATCGTGAATCATGTTTTACTAAACGGCGAATTTATTTTTTGTGAATGTAGTACTTAGTATCTATAATTTCAGAATTGCTAATGTGAATACCATTACATTTTAGTATTCTTTTATAATTTCTCTGGATATATCTCTCTTTACTAATTTTTTTTTTAATTTAGCCAAAAATAAACTGGCTGTATCATAGATTCTGTTTTTGTTTTATGGTGAGTAAAGAGTGTGAATTGATATTTCGATCATTGCTGCTCATGGACAATCACGGCGAGATACTCAAGTGAAGTTTTTTGGATGAATATTTTTAGGTTGAACTCTACACTCCTCATGATTGTTATTTGACGGATAACTTGTGACCATTTTAAAATCTTTGATATACTTTATTTTACACGAATAATTTTTTATACATTGAAAAAGTGGCTTGTGTAATAGAATGTTCGCAATTTAAAATTCGCAAAGATTCTATCATTACTATACATGGATATATATCTTAAGCTTAATTTTATTGAGGTTCAATTTTCCATAATTCTCTTCTAAATTGCAGTCTTTGGTTTTATAATTCCTTGAAGAAAGAAAGGGTTAGAAAGCCCATTTAAGATATTTAAATGAGGAATTACAAAAAGTGCAGACTTTTTTTAAAAAAAAGCGTAGAAGAATGGATACAAAATACATGCAAGCGAACAAAGTTTGCACCTAACGGTGAGTACTGCACTCAGCACATTAGGGAAAATGTAACGCGTTGCTTTATAATACAGCAAAAAGAGAATTAAAAAAGGAATACATTTGTCTAATCTCTGATGATAAAATGTCGCAGCGAAAGATTTTCACTAAGTAATTTGTCAAATCATCGATCAGATTCGATTAAGCATACAGTTTGGGCTTAGTCATAAATATTGTTTGTTAGAGTACTTGGACAGTTATTATGTATGCTCTCCAATTAGTTTAATTTAATCAAACAAAAACAAAGAGGTCGATTAGAAATCAAAGTACAAACAAGTATATAAACAGGAAGTTCGGAAATGTGTCAATTCATTCGTGAGATGTATATAATTATGAAGATTTAATAATATTTAATTTTTCCAGAAATTCAGAATCTTAAATGTGTTTTTAGAGATTTTTGAATTTTGAAGCAAAAAAGACATATTCGCTTTAGAGGATTGTGAGATTTAAAACAAGCAATTTAGCTATTATTTTCTTGTCACTTTCATTGGAATTATTGAAAATAATACTTTCTGCGCCAGTTATCGTAATTTATCTCCTATTATTCCAGTAAGTAACAGAAGTAGCTATTGTTATTTTTGTTGTCGTTGCTTATGGTTGTTGATTTTCTTCTAGCCACGTCGTGAATGCTTTAGCAAGCCAAGTTCCTTAATTGCTTTATACTGATCAGGTATTTCCATGAGAGCATTAAGCGCAAATGATGCCTCCTGATTTGGAGCATTGAACATCACCTGAACAAGTACAAGTCTGAATTTTAATCAAGAAGACTTAAAATGTTCTATTGTGGAGAGAGAAATAACATATTTCTCATTTATTATTCTCTAACTAATTTGTCTTGAGGATGTTGAAAAGATTATGTTCCGAAAGTATTTAGATATGATAATGAGATTTAGATTTTTTAGTGATTTATAGCATTCAAAATAGTATAGAGTACTTAAAGCTCTTGCTTCTATATTCAGAACGAGTGCTATAACTCGTTTTGAGTTATATCTTTTTGTTTTTATGAAACGCAATAACTTACTTTATGGAAATCAACAAAATGGAAATTATCAAACATTCGTTTCGGCAATGTTTCATCAAATCTGGTCATCATATTCCATGGTCCATCACCAACACCGACCCTGAAAAGTGCCAGTAATAGTAACATAGAAAAGTTAATTATATATTGAATACTAAATTTAAAAAATGAAATTTTTAATATGTTCTTAAGAACTTTCATTTTCTTATTTTCAAAGTATATTTCAAGATTTCGAATTTTAAATAATTTTTTTAAAAAATTTTTGAATTGGAGCTCGAAATTTAATTTTGAAATAGTAATCCAAGTACAAACATGATAATTGATAGTGGATAACGCGATGCTGCCGCAATAGCCTTCTGATTGATCTTTTCGTTCGTTACTTGCCCATCGGCAACAATCACTAAGATATGATATGAATGCTTCTCACGTACAATTGATACTGCCTTAAAAATTCCCTTTGTACAAGCATTTAATTTCATGGCCGATACATATTAATCAAATTTTAATTTCGAATTTAGACACAATTTTGAAGTCACATGAGGTTTCCAGTAATGGCTGAAGTGCCAAAAATTGTTTCATTTTATTACAAAAACATTTCAATATAAAGAACCTGTTCAATGAGAGGCACGAAATTTGTTGGACCAGACATTCGAATAGATGGTGTTATGTCAGTATATATCCTCAGAACTTCTGAAATTTTCTTTGCTTAACTGTTAAAGTTTCTTTAAGAGAATTAAATTTCGAATTTTAAAAGATTAAATCCTGTGTTGCGAAAGTTTATCTACTCATTTGACACATATCTTATGGCTTAATAGTTAACCTTCAAAGCCATTGCATTCGGCATTTATATCATTCCTATCATTCAAATTGAAAATGCCATGATCACTTGATTCCTCATCACCGAATCCATAGGTCGGTATCACACCGTCAGCATCAAATGATGATAATGTCTTTCCCACAATTTCGATCACCTATTAATTTCTTAGTTTTCATTATATTGCAACACTTTATATCGATGATTAAAAAAAGAATTTCATATAAACGAAAAATTATTTGTTGCGAAGGTTTTTTTTTCATTCGACAGTATGAAATCGCAACAGCACCACTAAATTTGTCTCATCATTCGGTGCTTTTAAATTAAAACTTTATTTAATGCGAAATGCGGACGAGAAGAAAATACCTGTTGATAAGGATTCATTTCATCAGAACTAAGATCATGCAAATTTCGTCCATCAAACGTCCTTTCACCTTGATACTTATTTGATTGCGTATAATCGATTCCGAATATCAGATTCGAATATTCTAAACCAGCCTGAAATTGTACGTTGCGTAACTAAAGAATGAGCATTCTGGAAATATACTGAAATATTCGTGATGTGTTCATTTTAAACTATTTAATTTATGACGAATAGTTTTTAAGCGGTTGTTCGATGTTCAAATTAAATGATATGTGTTAACACCTTTGAACTAATAGACTTTAAATAATTAAAATGCAGCGCCATCTTGCTTAATTAATTCAAAGAAAGTCTTTTTCCAATCAGAAATGTTTCATTTTAATGAAATTTTAAGATTTACTTTTTTGATACCCTTGATGACATCTTCCAGGGTTTTATAATGCGGTATATTATGAGCATCACCGAGTTCCATTGCTAATAATAAGCTATTACGCCGTACTGGTATGCTGAAAAGGAAAAAATGTTTTCATAATCTGTACACATATTGTGTAAGAATTATAAAAACATTAGGCATAAGAAAATTACATTTGCAAAAAATCAAATCTTAAATTAAAGCTATTTTAAGATTCTGCTGTTCTATACTTTAATATTCTGAGGTTAAAAATGTTTTCACCAAATAATCCGCGTTTCTTCAACATCAAATACGGTTAAATTAGTAAAGAAAAGAAGAGAGAGATGAGAGATTGAGTACTTCACTGCATTATGGTGCAATATAATATTTAAATATTTCTATAATTTCACTCAATCTGTTATTCACCAATCTTTCTATTTTCAGAAACACGGCCAGAAATGATTCGAGTACGTGCAATTGGAAAATATATTATTAGCAAATTTCATACAAGTTCGGAGCTTCATTCTGTCGTAAAGTTGGTTTTCGATCGTATTGTTCTTTCTTCATCGGTTTTTTCACAATGTGTGGAGTTTCTCGTTGTTCTACTGTCACATTCATGTCCATTGACATCGTTTTCTCGGTTACTTCGGCCGCAAAACTTACTCTATCAAGAAGAATGATGAGTAAATCAACAGTACTAATTATATCACTATCTAAAGTTTAAACTGAAATTTAGAATAGAAAATAATTTTTAAATGAAAATTAAAGATGACTAAAAATAATCAAAGGAAAATTTGATCCCAATTGGTGACAAATAACACTTATTATATAGGATTGGTATGGTCGTCAAATATTTACTTGTAAATTGCAATTAATAATTAAAGGGATCTTCTAACAATGCTAAAAAAGAAAAAATTTTGAAAATTTTAAAAAATTACCGTTTTTCGACTTTTTCTTCTTGCTCTTCATCTACAGCTTTATATCGTAACGTCACATTAACTGCTTCCGTACAGGTCAATGCTTCACGTTCCATTATGGTCGCCGATTTTTCAATTTCTATTGCACCAGTTGTACGTTGGACGTCGACACACATTTCCGATTCATGTCGTATGAACGTTTCTTCAGCGGAATCTGTTTGCAAAGAAACAGGTAAACATTGCCTAGCTAATTTCAAAGCAAATTCTGCATGCATTTCACTAAGACGCTTCCACACTTCTACTTTTTCAATTTCTATCACTGATTCCAGACTTTCTGTAGTATTCAGTATTTCCGGCAACGCGACGTTGATTGCTTTGACGGTATAACTTTGCTTGCTCTCCACATCTTGCTTTTCAAAGGATATTTCAAAGTTGAAGATGATTTCTTCTGCTGCCATCAGATTCATAGCTACATTCTCGCCAAAGTGCACTTCATGAATTATCAGCATTGCGCCAACATGTTTTTTCTGTAATAATTTGGATTCTAGGCAAATATACAACTCTGCGTATGATTCTTTTGAGGCATTACATTGTATTTCGATTATTCCGCCTTGTTTTTTCGCTTTCCAAACAGTTTGCGCCGACTCATAATCCAAAGATTTTTGTATTGTAACATTAGTTGTCAGCACCAGTTCACTGGATTCATTTGTAATCAATTTTTGTGGCACTTCATGATTTGCTGCCTTGCGACTGGTGGAAACTTCGAGTTGTGCCAGTTTCTTGGATTGTAATTCTAAATTAATAGATATATAATTTGCTTGAGAAGCTGAACAGGATATATTCACTGATTCGCCTTGATTTGCCGTTTTCCTTAATACTGTCGAACTTAGCTCTGCCGAAGTTTGCTTTAATGTATCCGTGATCGTAACAGCTTGTTCAGTTGCATATCCAGTGCTTAATTCCAAACGACCACCGTAACGTATTTCTTTCAAAATTGTGATCTGCTCAGCATTGGTTTCTGCAGGATTTTTCCACAAGAAATTATTGAATTGATTAATTTCTTTTGATTCTATAAACGTAAAGGACCGATTATCAGCTCTACGCGATGCACGTTTCACGATCTCAACGTTGGACAAATCACTTGGTTTTTGAAGTTGTAAGTTTGCTGTAAGTGTTTGTTCTTTAATTGCCAACATATGGCACATTTCACTTGTTCGATTCTTGTCCACAAAAACTATTTGCACTTCAAGCTGCTTCGCTCCTTGGAAGCTCTGCAAAGACTGAATACTGATCGAAGTTTCCTTGGCAGCGAAAGTATTTAGAATCAATGATCCACCAAAGCGTGCTTCCGGAAATACTTCTGAAAATGTACCAACAACTATATTTGGTCGTTGATATTGTATATTAGTAGTTTCAGAAATGATGGTACTTTCGGTTAGTTGAACATTAATGCCCTTAATCTGATTAGCAGCGTGAATGGTGACCGTTGATTGCTGACCAGTAGATGGACGATTCAAATGACAACTAAGTTCAGCATACATTTCGGTAGTGGACGATGTTGCAAGTATAGGTTGTTCTGCGCTATGACGTGCTGTAACTATCGTGAAAATAATTTTTTCCAAACTGGAACGGGAGGCTGTTAAAGCAGCTGTAAATATGATAGAAGATTCTTGAGCGAAATGAGTTGACAGCAGTAAATTTCCACCAAAACGTTTGTCACAGATGCATAACCGAACTTCTTCATACGTTCCGTCACGTTGCCAATGGGTGGTGATCGTTTCTATTTCACTGCTACTTTCTATGGTACTAAATTTACTAAATTCATAATTGGCAGCAAGTAACATTAATGTTACTTCGTTTTCAGAAATCTGTTTCTTTTGGAGATGATATTCTTGATTGCTTTCCTCGAGCTTGCTTGACTGCGTTGACAAGTTGCATGGCCTCGCAACATTTGCAACCACTTGGTGCAAGCATGCTTCCGCAAACATCAGATGCTTGGATATAATCTCTTCATAGATATCAGTAATAATTTTGTTTGCCGCGAAAGTTTCTAGCTTCTGATGCCCTCCATAAAATGCAATGAATATTGTCTTCTGAATCTCCATATGCTCGTCCTTATGCTGATATTTTATAATGACGCTTTCTGCTTCCAAGCTCATTTGTGCAGTGACTATTTGTGCTGTATCCATGTTTGCTATTTTACGAATAATTTCTACTTCTTTAGCTTCATGTTTTCGTTTTAAAGTAATGACTTCATTACTTTCTACCAGAACCGTTGACTTAGCCGAGAATACTACAGGAATGTTTTTATTGGATATATCAATTGAAAAGTATATTTCGGCTTGAGTAGGCAATTTTGATTCCAGTCGAAGTGTTACGTCAGTCATGCATTCTTTTGTAGCAGAAGTATTCATAATTGAACGACCACCATAACATGGCTGACGAAGAATCGCTTCAACTTGTTCCACCGCATTCTCCTGCTTGAATTGATAATTCAAGCATTCATTTTCCTCACATGTTTCATGTAATTTCCAATACACGTCATAGCCGCGATTAGATGCTATCAAAGTTTTACACACTTTTAACATTTCGATAGTGCGTTGAAGGTTGGAACAAACGGCAATTTCTACGAATTCTGGCTGGATCGTTTCCAGTGGAAGAATTTTCACAACGTTCTTAATTATAATTCTCCTTGAAGCACTTAAAAAGGTATCACGTCGTTTCTCCAGAATCCACTGTACCAACTTCTGTTCATCCGTTGCAGCAGATGTTGTCAGGATGCATGGCTCACTATTCCGTGCCAACCATATCGTCTTCTCTGAAATTTCCTTTGCTCTTTGTTTGATATAATTCAAATTAATAGTTAATACAACTATTTCGCTCTCTTGTATCGTCAATGTATTTCTTATTAGTGGCTTTTGGCACATGGTTCGGCTAGCATCATCTGTACTTTCCGAATTTCGCAAATTTATATGCACATTAGCAGATTCTGATTTCGCGGCAATGACTTCACAACTTGTACCACGACTCCAATTTTTGGAAACTATTAATTGACTACAATGAGCGATTCGAATAGCGCCATTTGTAAGCTCTCTTATCACATTCAATTCGTATTCTTCCGAAGCACCAGTTGTAAGATTTAATTTTCCACCAAATCGAGCTTCCTTTATTATCTTTTCTAGCTTTACAGATGCGATTTCTCGTGCTAACTGTAGATAGCTGGATTGTTTTATATCTGTTGTTTCAATTAAATTTGCCCCAATATTGACACCTCTATTGGCTTGTTTAAAAAGTAAGTAAACTTGATCTATAGGTGATGGTCTTACTAAATCCGTTCTAATTTCTTTCGTTACCTCAGTAACATGCTGTGCTGATAGTACTGGTGCTATCATTGTTACCACTTGTTTTAATGTTTTTACTGCAGTCTCGGATGTTTCATATTTGTGATATTCGATTTCACGATCCGAAATTGTTTCCTCCGCAGATTCTGTATTCAGCGTTAAATGCCCGCCATAATTTGGAACCTTCCAAATAACTGGAGTCTTCCATGAAACTTCTTTAATTCTAAATTGTGCATATACAGTATGCGTGGTTTCACCGATTTCCAGAAAACGACTTCTAATTGGTTCCGCTTTTCGGGAGCAAGGACGTTGCGTTAATGCTAATGCTGTTTGTGGCGTTTTTTCCCAGTTAATATCTATCACTATTATTTTGGATGTTGATGCCAAAACCTCCATCGATGAGAAACTCCTAATGTTTTCTTTTAAAACTTCAGTAATTGTTTCATTTTCGGTTTGACGTAACATTGCCACGCTAGCATTACGATCTTCCGCTTGTGCCGACTTTGTTACTAGCTGATAATTTCCTCCGAAACGTTTCTCAGCAAAATTACCTTCCATTTCATGCTCTTCAGCTTGTTCACTATATTGAAATCCTACAGTAACAAAGTTTTGTTTGGTTTCTTGTAACCATATCGACAAACATTCACCTTTATTCCCGATAATCATCACATAGTTAATGGTTTTTTCCTGCGGCACTATCCTAAATTCCTCGTATCCATTAACAATTTCTTCTTTTGTAGTATTGGTTATTAGCATCTGCGGTTCATAATCTTCACTAATGATAACAGTCATGTTGAATTCCGCAAATCTTACTTCTCCGGAAGTTAATTGTTCATATAATATCACCTGATCCTCCCGATATTCTTCCATATCAACAATTATGCCGTCTTCTTTTCTAGCTTCAGGCCATATTACTTCTACGCCTAAAGGAGCCAATCGTTTTCCTTGTAATTTCACAGCCATGTGTAATTTTTCATCCCCAGTTTCTTCGCATACAAAAATTTCCATTTCCATCTGGTTGGATGAAATTTGAACTGTTTCAAAATATTTTTGTGCTACTTCACGTTCCAAACAAACATCTACAGTTGTATAATCTGCTTCGATATCTTCACAACTGATGTATAGCGGAAGCGTTGCGAGAAATTGTTGCTCACGCCAAATGTATTCATTTGCTATTTGTTTCGATAAAACGTTGGATACACGATAAAGACTAATCACTGCGCTTAACTTTTCCAAAATCGACTCATGTACGGATACATATAACGTGTCGTGATTTTTACCACACAAAAACATCTCAGAACTTCCTTCTTTTTCAAAATTTTCCAACCATATTCTCACTTCGTCAAATTCAATTTGGAAGCTACGTTGGCAACATTCCGATGTAATGACGTTTCTGACCGTGCACGTTTCTGTGTTGCATTCCGCTGCTATCCACGTCTCACCAATTGAAGTTTCTTCTTCACTGGTTGCCAGGGTTGAGAATTTACTGACAATGTTCCGTGTGTGCAGCAGCTTTACTTCAGCTTCCAAATCTCGATCAACAGTAGTCCATTGCGATAAAATTTCAAAACCTTCGAAATTTGTTTCTTTCAGTCTTTCAAACACAGTATCCGTATGGGCTTTTTTTAAAATACTTTCCGTTCCATCCAATACCTCACGTGATTTAGTTAACTCAATAGTTTCTTGCAGGGCTACTGCCTTCGCACATTTAGTTTCCAAACTTACAATACCTCGGTTGATGGCAGATTGGCAGATATTATCTTCCACTTCCAGGTTAGACGCTGGAATAGAGAACTCTACGCTTGCATCCTTGCTGGTCTTCTCGGCATGCCGCGTTTTCAAATGTTCTGATAACGTCAACACAACGCTAACAACATGTGAAGCAGCTTCAGTTGTCTTCTTTGCGGAACGACGCATCAACAAAATTCCAGCATCTAACTGTGCTTCTGAAATTTCTGTAATCGATTCTGTCAGATTTTCAGCGCGAAGTATTTCTTTTTGCACACTTTCCGCAAATAATTCTTCTTGTGAACGTGTCAGGATACTTTCTTTCATTTTAGATTCTATTTTAAAGTGTCTTTCATCGCCTGAAACAGCGGTGATTGTACGAAAATGTATGGAAGCATTCTCATGAGGTGGTTTCATACATAGTACATGTTTACTTTCCAACTGTAGTTCTTGACTAGCTGAAGTATTAAGCGTTACTTGCTCACGATTAGATTCACAGATATTAATAGCGCTATCAAAATCATTCACGATGATGGTCCACGTTGTATCTATTAATTTTGCTATTTCACTTTGTACAACATATTGTTCGCTGATTATCCATTCCTGATTTCTATCTTTCAGTACAGTTTTTAAGGATTGGCACTGTGACTGCTTGTCAAACATGACTACACATGTTTCATATATTTCAGAACTTGCAATAAAACCAACAACAGCTTTTTCATGATTTACTTCCCTCCAAATACATTTAACTATTTCGCTTGGTTCATCTTTTACCAATAATTGCTCCAAATTTGCAATACATTCTCTGCAAGCTTCCAAATCCAAGCACTCTTTCCAGTGTCGACTAACACTGCTTGATATTTTTGCCTCATTTTCGGTTTTCCTTATCAGAACTCTTGCAAAATGAGCAGCAATTTCTGTTGAAATAGAACCATATTCTTGAAAAATTCCGTTTTGGTCCTCGACATATCCAATGCTAATATTTATAGTTGCTTCTCTAGCAGCTTGTTCATTAGATCGTTGAAATACAGCTTCAGCACTTCTTTGAACAATCTTCCACTTACCAATTTCAGATGCATGTAGTTTGAGCGAAATCGTTTTATCTGTGAGTTCCGAGAGTTCCGGTTGTTCGATTGGTTTGATAATTTCCACATCTTCGTGTTTGACTGCATCAACGGTGCAAGTTATGTCTCCAAATTCTGCAACTGCAACATATGTCTCAGCTGATAGTGCATTCTGTACCATATCCCAGTGTGCCATGTATTGCTGATGTTCGCTGCCGAATTCATAAATGCGTGAAGAAATTGTTTCACATATCTTATCCGATAAAACGCATGCAACGCTTGATGTATGTTCTGCCTGTGTCTTGAATGTACTTACCAGGCCATCTACTTCTTCACGTGCTGCTTTCAGATTCATCATGAATTTTGCAACTGATTTTTGTGCAATATTACAGGCAACATCCAGTTGAGTATTACGGTTGCATTCTAGCTGTATTTCCAACGAGGAAGATTCTGAAGCAACCAACTGCGTATTAAAATAACTTTCAAGTTTCACTGAAGAGACAATTTGTGTTTCAGCTTTTTCCGCTACTTCCTTGTGTTCCAATCTTGCGAACGAACCCGTGGTTACTATTTGCGCAGTGCCATATCCGACAACATATGCCTGAGTTCGAATGATTTCTATATCTGGTATCGTATTACTACACTCTTCATCGGAAGACTTCTTGAGCAACGAATGTTCTTGTGATTTAGAAGTAATCATTAGCTGTTTTTTATCAGTAGCAACTTCTTTCAGGGAACGCTTTGCTCCAATGGTATCGAACGATTCCATCTTTTCGATCATCCTCGAAAACTCAATATTTTGTTCCGTGATAGCTGTAATAGCTAGCTTTTCCGCATGTATTTGTGTGAGTGGTATTACCTTTTCCGCAGATGCCCTTCTCAGCACTTCGTTCAATCCAGAAACTAATGCTTCTTCCTTATATCCAATTGATACTTCCAAAACAATATCTTCTGTGACACTTTCATTTGAAGCAGACTGTGCATCGACGTCAATCTGAGGTTCAACCTCATCAGTAATGATTTTCGTGCACTGCTCAACTGTCCCTTGAACTGTAATTCGTTGAAATACATCGCTTGAATTAGTTGCTTCTTCATTATATTCTATAGCATTTGCTACTGTAACTGCGTGTTCTATTTTTTCTTCTGATTTGCACAACTCCGTGAAATTTCTTGTTTTTGCTTCAAATTCTGGAACCCCAAGGATGACTTCTTTCCCAACTATGTTTGTTACTTCTAGAGTTCTATCAATATTAGCAACTTGATCAGATGTATATCTCAGATCAGTATTTTGAATCAGCTCTGCTTCTGTCGTGTCAGTTGCTATCGTTATCTGATTTGATTCAATAGCAGCATCTGTAATCGCTGAGGCTTTTTTTATTTCCAATTCTAGCCGAGATACATTCAGAGTACTTGCTGTTAAATTTGTAGCAATCTGAAGGTTAAGACTTTCTTTAATCACACCATGAACTTCTGCATTTACGCCTCGACGTTCGATTTGGTAAAATTGTCCCTCACTTTCTGTTTTTGCACATTTCACAAATTTCCATTTTGTTGATGTCTGTTGATATATCGATAGGTCTTCTTCGATCTCTTGCATATTTACTTGTTCGGACAATTCAGGTTTTACCAATTCTTCCGCAATCATCAACTGACGTTTTTTATGTGTTTGTTCAGTGAAACCTTCCGTTAGCTCTCTTACATCTCGATTTTCCTGCTGAACCTTTGATAGTACTTGAGTTTCTCCTTTCAGATGCTTCATTTCTTCTAGAAATTCCGAGTCTCGGAAGGTATTAGTTGTTGTCATTTGTCCTTCAATAATTTCGAATTGTGTTACGGTATGTTGTCGTACTTGTTCAAACTCCTTCACAAGTTCTTCCTGTTCTTGCACTATTTTTGTTCTCGGCGTTTTTGTTACAGCACCTATTTCATCCTGTGTAACTGATACTGCTTTTTCGGTTACAACAATCGGCTTCGAAATTAACTTTCTCGTGAATTTGGGTGGGAAATGCGCAACAGCATTAAATCTATTATTCATTTCTTTAAAATTAAGCCGATCATCCGTTTTTTCGGATTCCATAGTTGACATCTGCAAGGTAGTTATCAAGTCACGACTTATCGGTGCAGTTTCACTCCATGCTTGTTTAATTGGCTGTGTAACTTTACTGAAAGTAATCGCGCCAGTTTGGCTTATTTCTTGTTCCGAAACTAATACTTTAGCAATTGTTTTCGGTGAAGTAGAAAGGGCTTGTGGAATTGCTTGATGATAATCTACTTCACTAATGTTATGTCTTACTTCCTGCTTGTGTGTTTCTATCGTTCCTGTTCCAGTGTCAACTATGGCAATATTTTTATTTTGTACTGGTCCTAATATCATATGCTCAGTGATTTCCATAGTTTCTGTAGTGCTACTAGTTGTTTGCTGAAATATTTCATTTTGGTGTTCAAGACTTAATGGTGGAATTTCATCCTGAATATGCTTTACATTCGTTCCCCAGACTGACATCGAATCGTGATACTTTTTCTTGAGTTCATCTATTTCTGAATCTGTCTCCTCCTTTTTAGCAATTAAAGCTTCATCTGCGATCTTTTTTGGTTGTATGAAATCGTGATATCCGGCTGAGAATACAACTGAAGATGCTTCATGCTGTTTGGATTTCTCAATTGTAACATCATATCTGCATGTTTCCGAAACAGTACTCGATTCACCCTCTGTTAATGCGAGAAATTCTTTTAATGCAGAGGATTCAAGACTAGTGGTAAAAGAATGAATCATTTCCATATTGATTTTTTCTGGATTTGCTATTTCGGACTGTTTCATATGGTTGTATGTTGCATCTGAAATATGGCTTATTTCATCGAATGCTCCAGAATTCTCTTCCAGCGAAGATTCATATAGATCAGCAGCGGACTTAGATATTTGTTCCATATGGATATTTCGTTGTTTATAATATGATTCTGTGGTAGCAGTCCAACTTCGTTCATCCGAAAAATATTCACTCGTCGTTACGCTGCGATCTCTTACAAATGTTGATTGCGTCTCTATTTCTGGTGTCGCAAGTAATGTTGTATCAAGATCGAAGCCTGCATGTAACATCGCAACACGTGTTTCACTTGCAGTGTTATACAGCTTTCCTTTCAATTCTTTCTGTTTTACTCTCGGAAAAGTGTACAGCTGTTGCTGTTCTTTTTGTTGCGCATCATAGAGGAATTCTTGCAAATGCATCCGTTTACTTTTTTGTCCATATTCAAGTTGTTGCTCACGAGTATTATCAACTGGGTTCAATGTTAGACATGCTTCATATATGTTATTACATAGTGACATTGATTCCTGCCTTTCACTTAAGTTGTGTGATGCACTTTCCAAATAATTTAAGTTTTCCATTCTACAGTTATCATTTACGTGTTCCATGCTTCTAAATAAATGATCAGTTGTTCTATAGGAATCAACAGCATCGAAAGGTCGGAAAGAATTAACTCTCGAAGAACGTGAATTATCATAAATTGCGGTGATCCACTGTTTTTGTGCATCACTGAACCAATCTTCATTGCTATTCATATTACTTGAACTTATGGTTGAAATCTGTTCAATAGGTACTATTCGTTCCTTTTTCGTTTGATGTTTAGATTGAGGAAATACTTCACATATGTCATTTGCGTCGTCTGTCTTCGTTTCATCCATCCCTAATATATTACTAGTTTTAGGCGATTCCTTTGTATTCTCAACATTTACAGTTGATTGTTTAGTTGATTTTTCATGTATATAATGACTATCACAAGAAAATGATAATTCAGTTCCACTTTGAATACATTCAAAGGTTGTATGCAATGATGATAAAACTTTCGTTTCGTCCCTTAAATCATTATCTGACCATTGAGGCTCCATCATAATGCTTACTTCGTTCGTACAGGTGTCACGAGCTCTCCGAAAAGTATCAAAAATTTCTCCAACTTGTCCACTATTATCATCACCATCTTTCATTGTTTTAACGAACATTTGTAAAGATGCTTCTTTCTCATTAATTTGCTGCTTAATTTCATCAATGTTACATAATCGTGCAATTTTAACTCTAATTTCATCGAAATTTTCCGGAATAGGCTGTGTGTAATTGACGGAAAGATTCAATGAAACGGTTGCGACCTCAATTAATGGGAAAATTTTTTGTGCCATACTATGAGTCGGTAAAATGGTTTTGAAATTAGATAAGTGGAAATGTTTAATCGTTGTATTTGTTGTTAAATCAGTGCTTGGAAAATCAGCGGTGGTCATGAAAGTGTCGGTGAGAGCTTCAAAAATATTAAAAGTTTTGGTAGTAGTGGTATTGATAGTAGTGCAAGTGGTTCTTGACCTACCTGTCACTGCTTCGGGCCACTCACGTTGCACCTGTCCACACATGATACCTGCACGTTGTAACAATATAACAACTTGTTCTCTTTCGTCTCCAAATTCAGTAATCGTCATTTGTTCATTCTGCTTCATACGTTCAAATAATCGTATACTTGCAGCCAACATTTTTGATCCTCGATTCAGTGATACGTTTGAAGCACGCTCATTTTCAAGACTTGCTCGTGAGTAAAGACTTGCTTTCTGCCTGCTAACGTCTTTCACGATAAATTCTATCGTGAGCTGATTGGAGTATTTGCTAACATGTCCCATACTGAGCATAACTATAGCTGTTTCTTCCGTAGCAGCCTTCGTTTTTAATACATGTCCATCAGAAAATCGTGAAGCGTGACGTACGTTGTCACAAGACATCATCACTGTACTGGCCAGTTTGTCAATTGTTATGATTGCATTGCTGGTTACGATATTCATCTCTTGCCCGCTGAATACTTCTTTACAACTAATCTTAGTTGCAAGAGTAGCAAGTATCTCCTCCTTTTTTCCATTCGTGCTGATCTGTGCGATTAAATTGATAACTTCAGTGGGTTCGCTTTCTTGAAAGTGCTTTGGAGAACTGCGATGATCGTTAGAAATGATTATTGCAACTTCAAATTCTCCACGAGCTTCCTGCTTCGTCAAATTCAAGTATGTTGGTCCACAAATATCTTCTTCTGAAATTGATTCTGATTCCAAAAAAAGACGTCGTTTTTTTTTAAGGATCATTTCACCCTCGAAATGCTGTCCTTTCTGCTGTATACCGTAACTGCCACCTTGGGCTTCACGAAATTCGTAACGACGTTCGATGTCCAATTGACTTTGATCGGTACGCGGAATTGCGAAATTTGCCAGAATTGCTGATGTATCTGCCATTCGCCGTAGATCTAATTCCGTAATATTTAATACCGGAATTTTCACCGGTTCAATTATCTGAGGTTTCTCAAACAAGAAGCTTGGTTGTTCTTTTCGAGTATGAACCACTGCCTTCTGCACTTCATCGAATGATTCGGTGGATTCAAAACGATGTAAGCGTTTGATCGTTGTTTCACCGGAATACTGTTTTCCATGTTGTTCCATTCCATAGCTAACAATATTTGGCAATTGTGGTAGAATACGTTCACGTATTAGAGATAATACAGCTGAGAAAACGTTCGGCACTGCAACATTAACCTCATTGAGTGAACGATCTTCCATGCGTTTCAAGATGCATTCTACATTAATGTAAATACAAGATGACGGTGCACTCTCCGATGTTGTTGTTGCTTCCGAACCAGTTCTTTGATGGGATCGTATTTCAGAGTGATCCTCATAATGATGACCTTCGAAAAGAAATTTAATATCAGCTGATGGTTGGATGGTTATCGCCTCTTTTTCCGAAACATCCATGTATTCCTTTTCGGTAAAATCATATGATGATGTTAGCAGCTCTTGGTCGTAAGTACTTTTATCAACTGCACTAACTGTCTGATCGACCAGGTGATCTTGAAGCAAATCATTGCGTTCTCCAACAATATATGTTTTGAGTATTTTCGTCACATTCTCAATCACTTCTACTTCGACCCGAGTTGTTTTCGGTTCTTCCTGTTGATTCAATATTTCCATATCATGTAATAATCGTTGGCTAAGCAAGGAGAGATATTTCGCTTTATCCTGAAAACAGAAAATCCTTTGATTCTGTATTCCAAAAAATGTGGTAGAATTTCATGTGGTGATTTTTTAAACAATATCCATTTCTCACATTTAAATCTAGCATTTGATTTAACATTTCAACATTCTGAAAAACTACTCAGGTTGTTGCCTAAATTTTAAGAGCATGATAAGAATTGGTTGATTCAATTAATCTTTGTTAATTCAATTCATTATCTGTGGAACAGTTTATGACACAAATAAATTATACCTACCACATTCGACGGTATTTGAAAATCGGCGACATCTTTTGTTTTTAATTGACCATCTTCATAAAGACTCATTTTGAAATCTCTATCACGATTCTCACCATCCATCGATTCTTCCATAATTAACGTACGATTCCCTAACGTAGTTCTTACCTGTTCAGTAAAATAACTCTTAGCATCATCATTCAGTTTAACTGAAGCATAAATCTTGATCTCTAAAAAAGAGAACGAAAAAAAGCAAATAAAATCACGAATGAATAATTTTAAAAATAACATTATGATTTAATATATTTGCAAAACAGGAACAAAATAACGATCTAATTGTTTTTGATTTTTATTCTGTTAATGAATATTTATTAACAAAATGATCATACTTTATAATGTGTAGTAGTATCGCAAATTGTCCACGCACTACACGTACAATATTTAACGGATATGAGATTTGCCCCAACAACTTTTTCCATTCTTAATTTTCCTTCCACTGTTGTTCGAACTATTGGTGGCCCTTGTCTGTAGAGGCCAATTTTGTGATATTAGGAAATGGGACAAACTACAACTTAACTTCATGTCAATATATCTTTTTTCTTTTTTCAAAAATATTACTTAAGTAATGACAAGCAAGGATTTGGGCATAAACTGATAAAAAGGAAAAAAGAGCAGTAACCTCTTTTCATTACTATAAATGGTAACTGTTTGATGTCGTCGTCCTTCTTTATCTACATATGTTGATGCATCGCTAGGACCAAGATCACTTAACCGATCAGTCTCCCAAGTGAATGCATTTGAAAGTTTTACTAACTCGCCATCCTATAATTTAATCATATTATTTCATGATTGAATTTTTTTATGGTTTAATTATGCAATTTTTAGCAAATAAAAAATGTTTGTTCTAATGATGAAATCAAAATAAAACGAATATTTTATTTGTGAGATAGAAGTTTGGCAAAGGTCAAAGCAAAGTTTACGAATATCATTAACGATTATTATACGGTATGCTTAAAAGTCTCATAAACGGTGATTTTGGGATCAGATTTTTACAAGTTCATGGCAAGTACACCTTTGTCCTAATAATTTTATTCATAGATGTAGTAGAAGCAGATTTTGGGATGCGATCGGCGTGCAGTGGACGTGAACTACTGCTATACCAAACCGATGGCGGCTGTGAAGAAAGACGTAACAAATCATTTGTGGCTTCATCCAAAGCTAATGATGCATCACGACTTGAACGAACTGGTGACTGCAACAAAAATTACAATAGATTTTGGTGACGTATTTCATATGAAGCGAATAATTGTCGTAGAATGAATATTTAAAAACAGCAGTATTAATTAATCATTACAAGCAACTTCTAATTATATATTTTACTGTATAATAATATATTTGCTAGGGGAAAAAAAAGAAAAACGAACAAAATACTCTCGATCAGATAAAGTGCTTCTCGATGGTGATTGCACATCACGCTCATGATTTATTCCTAAAATCTGCGACACATCATAATCAAAATTGATGAATGCTTGTTGCGTAGGTGTAGTTGTTCTTGTTAAAAATGTAGGAGGTGGCGCCACACTTTGACCACGCCGCTCTGTTGCTGTACTGAGCAATTCATCCTCAAATGTGACACTTTTCGGCGATAATGGTGCTGACACTGCAAATTGTATAAATTACTGATTTCCTTGATGATTGATATTTTTGTTTAGAGCAAATATGATATCAGAAGAATTAGGTATAATCATTTATTCACATTTATATTCTGTTTGATCTTGGTCCAAATCTTAAGTTTCTTTTCCAATGCAATTATTATGACAAATTTCAATTAGCATTACTCTATATATCGATTTTAAATGTAAGCTAAATTCTAGGCCTAATTTATGTTTGACATAAAATCGGAACCATTTCATTCTTCAAAATTTAAGCACGACGGCATTTAGATTTACTTGAATTTTATATTAAGCAAGCTGAATTGTATGTTAAAAATGATTACTTTCACGTTTTTCCAATAAAAAAGTGATTACTTTCACGTTTTTCCTTGTTAATAGAGATAACGAATTCATCCTGTTGTCTGTCAATTACAGCATATTCGTCATCATCATGTAACAGTGGCCTTCTTTCCGGCTCTGCGCTCGTTCCTTCACCTCCACCCAGTGAACGTGAACTTGTTGGATGGAAGAATTTCTGAAATTTATAAAAATCTCGAAGATTTTTTTTTATAAATTTGTAAATTTAAATATTAAATTTAACTCTCAAAATAATATTCCAATTGCCTGAAAAAATACTTTTTGTAAAATATGCACCTGAAAAAATCCGCGTTTTTGCTCCACTCCCACATCATCATTACCATTTCTGCAATATGCCATTGCTTACCAAAAGATCTTTCATATTAACCTCAAGTGTTTGTTCTGCTTTTCAGTAACAATATGCTTACATGTATCGTAGTTATCAAATTACTTCATGAAACTTCGGTCAAAAATATTAATTCAATATTAGTTATTTGAAAGATTAATGAAGTTATTTAAAATCTTAAGCAAAAAACTAGATTTAATTAATTAAACAAAAAGTGATTACTTGTTGTTCAATTTTTCCTGATTGAAAAGGTACCGAAAACCACGTTTCATCGTATATCTCTTCCTGCAACAATCTGGATCACCCTTTCCGCATCTATATATTCCATTTCATCCTTTTTTAGCTCTACGGATCCTATCTCAGGTGATACATTTAATACAAAAGAATTTAGGCTCTTCACATTTGTTATTTTAATTAATGATTCCGTCTTTTTGGTTGACGTTAATGCCAAGTATTTGTGAATCGTTTTTTCAGAATTGGTCTCAGCTGTCCAAATAGTTCGATGACACCTTTCACCACTGGATTTCAATAATCTTCGAAATTTAATAGCATTGATGATAACTGACTTTCACTTTGTGATCGGCGTCGTCTTTTAGACATTTTTGAAATTTTGAGCATTGATCCGAAGACTTTCTTTTGAATATGTATGCTTTTTACGTCACTTGATTTCTGTTGCTTCTTTTTCGGGATCTTATCCATTGTCCGTAATACTTTTTTCCGGGACCCAGTAGCAACTGTCATTATCACTGATACTATTACTCTCTTACTTTGTTTTTCATATTCGATCACGTTACAATCAATAAATCCAGAAGATTTCGACTGCTTGCCATTTTGTGCAGATTGCTTTTTTGTGTTACCATATTCACTCCTGCTTTGTTTATAGTATATACTGTGGTAACAAAAAGCGGTGTGCCAAACATAATTGAGCGTTTCAAGCTGATCTCTCCAAATACCAAATGCTAAAGAAGAATAGTTTGGTTAATCCAAGCAAATAAGAACAATTAGTTAATAAGTAATTAGGAAATATTAGGAAATATGAAGAAGAATAATTTAAGAAAATAAAAGGAAAGAGAGCGATTTCTTTAATTTTTGATTCTAATAGCTGGAAAATACGATTAAATCAGTTAATTTTTGTGGTAAATTTTGGAAATACATGCAGTAAAATAAAATACAATAAATACATGCAGTAAAATAAAATACAATGTGACGTATGCATCAGTGAATTAAGTTGAAAAAGAAATCGTAGGAATGCTTTTAAAATCTAAAATTAGCAAGCAGGAAAGTAATTCCTATATTTTCTTCATGTTCAAAATTAGTAATAATTGAAATTCAAAGTAGGAGGGGAAACATTAAATGAAGGAAAAACATTATACAAAAGGCACTATTATACAAAAAATAATAGAGATAATGACTAGGAGTTTGTAAGAAATAAGATTTTTAGATCACATGATTCATGAATTTTTGGATTCTTCCTGGATCTTGAATCAGAATCCAAGTAATAAGTTCAAAACACGATTCAAAATATGTGATGAGCTATGGAAGATTGTAATTCTGTCAGGAGCTATTATTAAGCTTTACTCAGTTCTGGTAAGCTTAAAAGAGTTGATTTGGCTAGCTTCCAAGTGATTGGGAAAGTAAACGATGAAGGAAAAGAATGGGATAACAGAAACCATTTGTGTTGTGAGTTTTTTTTTTTTTTTTGTTAGCTTTATTCTAATAGATTTTTAGGAGGTATTCAATAGAGGGATTGCAATTCTGTTTTGAAAGGTTGATCCTTTGATTATAGAATAAGAGTTGAGTCCTATTCCAATATGGTTGATTGAAGCAGAAGAACGATGTGAAAACACGCGTTGAATTGTAGTTTATTGCGAGTGGAACCTCAAATTTGGGTAATTAAACCCACAGCAACATGAAAGAAGCGCAGAAAACCCAAATGCACAAACCCAAAGGAAGAAGAAGGAATGAATGATGTTTTATACAGGCAAAATATACGTGCATATCATAACGAGGGAAAATAAGGAAAGATATCGGAGAATATAATGAATATATGTGTATATATATTTAAACACTTGACCAGTTATAATATTCTTGAAATTTCGTGACTTTCGCGACAATTTGACTGATTTTCACTTTTTTCTTCAAATAATTTATTCCTTTTTCCGAGCAAGAAAATTTGTAGGTATATTAAGATGGAGTTGACATATATTAGAAGCAAAAGATGAACACATTTGTATTTCTTACTTAGAAATTAAACTTTTCTTAATATTCACAAGTGTTATAAAATTATGCTACTTATTGGTATTTATAGATTTGTTTATATAACAATTTAAAACGTTGCACAAAAAAAAATCTGGAATTTCAGAATTATAAAATGCTCTAAGTAACGAAATAATTTAGTTCCCGGTCGATATTCTGGCAGTTATCTGGCAGTTAGATTAAATGTTAGAAGCGATTTAAAAAATTAGCAATTTAAAATTGTGATGAGAATTTCAAAAACAGAGGAAAAAGAAACTGATGAATGTAATAGTAACAAAGCATATGCTCGAAATATATGATAATATTTGAAGAGAAGGAAGAAATACAGTACTTGAGTATAATAGCTTTGTAATATTAAAAAACTTTTCTGCTTACTCTTCTGATTCATTCTAAGTCTGTAGGTACACCCAAAGTTTAGTAAAGATATTCTGATAGGCTTAGAAGAGGACATACAGTTGTCAGTTTTACATAATCACGTTTTAATTTCTACGTTTGTTCAATCTTTATACTGTTTTTACCCTTTTATCTATTTTTTGATATTAGGAAGCAAATCTCACAGCATTTATGAAAATGTGCACAATGTTTAAAGTTAAAATATCAGCCAATATTTAAGTATCCTGAGCTTAGAAACAATATTGCTGCAAATATCATATGCTTCTGATCGATATCGCCGATACTCCGGAAGTATCAATGGATTGTATAATTCTGTTCGAGATCTGACAGTTACATCTCAATGGAATTGAGTGATTACATGCGAAATGTGTGGTGGTAGATATATCATCTTTCAAGACAAATTAGACAATTTTTCTCATTATGCTATTATTAAAATTATTAAAATGGAATTTTTAATCTTGAATTTGATAATTCCTTCTCTCTCATTTCATTTCAAATGTTGTTTCGATAAATTTTTGATTTCATTTTTTGAACAAAGAAGTAAAATCATCCGATGCTTATTTTGAAATTTCAAATGAAAAAAATTATTTCATTTTGTTCTCTTTTTCTTTTGGTTTAACACTAAAAATACATAATTCCTTTTTTCTCAATGCAATAGTATTCTTTCCAAATCATTTAAAAATGTCAGTAAAACTGAGTTTTAAAAAATGATAAAGAAGAAAAAAAAATATATTATTTGAACATAAAAATGAAAGCTCAAATACAAAACCACTTTCATATTGAAAGGAACATGAAAATGTTGAAAAGCTGAAAATTGCATAATGTAAAGTTATTAAATATCATAAATTTGAAAAGAATCTATGAGAAACCGGTCGAGAAGTCAATCAATAATATACATTATAAGCTCTCTTATTCGAAAAAATTTAATAACGGAAATTTTTCATAAATGTAATTTAATAAAACATTCATTGTTAAATGAACAACAACTGAAGTATTTCACTGCTGTTTAATACCTTTCCATCTTTTGATGATGAAAAAAGCAATATATTTCGAAAATCATTTTGAAAGAAAATTATGCGATCGGAAATTGTTTTAGAAAAAAATGTAAAAATTCCCTTGCAATAATTCTGGCTTTTTTTTCAAAATTTTCAAAATCTTCTAAACATCTTGAAATGAAGCAGTGGAAGCTGTTAAATTGTTTCAATACCGTATATTTGCCTACTTTCATCCAATGTGCTATCGGCTGTGCCTTATTTCTAATAACTTATTATTTTGGAAGTAAAAAAAGAAACAATGATATGATATTGCTACAATAAACTTAAGCATCAATTAATCCAATAAAATATAATTATTATTGTGCAAAATACCACACATACCGAATTCTACTCAAAATTGCAACGCCTTTATCTATGTTTTGGAGAAAAGACAAAAAGGGAGGAATGAACAAACTAATTTGAAATGATTTTTAATTGAATTTAATACTTAAACACTTTATTTGTGCATCGACTACCTTTCCATCTTTTGATGATGAAAAAAGCAATACTTCGAAAATTGTTTTAGAAAAAAATGTAAAAATTCTCTGCAATAATTCTGGTTTTATTTTCAAAATCTTCCAAATATCTTGAAATGAAGCAATGGAGGCTGTTATATTATTAGATTTCGCTTTTTCTTTCAGTTGAAAAATTTTAAATTTAATTTGAAATTTAAGCCACGATATGGGTTTCTGCATAGAATATTATTAGCTGTGTGAGTTGAATGGGATACGAAGTTACAAAGGAATAGATTTCAATAGCACTACACAAATTAAACTTTATAGGAACAACTGTTCGTGCTATTTGGTATTATTTAATCCATCTTTTTGCTTAACAAGGATTAATTAATGAAATATTTAAACTATTATTAAATTATCAATGGAAAGGTGTTGACTGGATGATTTTTTAAAATTAAGTTCACGATTTTTGACACCTAATGAATGAATGCTAATAATTAAATAAACAATTGCATTTATATACAAATGATATTCATTGAAAAAAACTTTTAAAATTTCACTTTTCACAAAACATTTGAAAAGATTTGTAAAGTCAAATCAGTTGGACTGATACTAACATGAAGTAAGAAATACTTGAAGTTACATTCAAAAGAGTGTAAAGTTACACTCAGTTATACTGCCAAGGCAAAATTAGCGAAAAAAGCATTAAGGAATCTCAAAAGAATTTTTATTGATAGTTTTAATCAAATGTGGTGTCAAAAAATAGAAGTTAAAATTTAGTTTTTGCTTGGAGTGATATTAGAACCATTAGCAACTTATGAAAGTAGAATTCAGATTTAACCTAAAAATTCTATATCGTAGTATAAATAATAGCAATAACATAAAACTTCTGGAGAAGAACGCACAAGCTTCAAGCAAGCTAAAAACATTTCACATTGATCAGCTAAATGAAACTAAGCGGTATGAAATCCAGCTTAAACTGCATGATTTATTGATAATCTAAATTTGATAGACGAATGAACTTGGTGTTATATGTTGGGTGCAATGCGCATTTGCTGTACCGAATTTAAAACGGATAAATCTAATGAAATAATTTATTCAGATCATTATACTGCTAAGGCAGAATTAATGAAAAAAGCATAAAGAAACATCGGAATGATTTTTGTTGATAGTTTTAATAAAATGAAAGTGGTAAAAGTTAGTAAACGATTTTTTTGAATAAACAGTCACAGAATTATGATGAAAGTTTTACTGAGTAAACAAAAATGTTATTTAAAATCAATTCACAGCTATGTTATTTTGACAAATCAAATGTAATCTTCAATCTTCATATATTTTAATGCTCAGGACAGTACCACTTGAGATAGGATATTTTTATTCATTATTGGTTTGTACTGCACTTCTCAAATTTCAAGTAACCAGAAAATTTACCTTAATTTTTTAAAATAAATTTAAAATTTTTTTAAAACAAAGAAAACTGCATTTCGTTTTTTTCTTTGTAAAAATAAATTTGGAAGCGTGAATGAAGTCGTTTTAAAAATTTCACGAAAAGACTAACTTGAATAAAATGAAGGAGAATTCCAAAATTTAGCGAAAATTTTCCGTCAACCAAATGCCGAACAGATGCGCTGAAAGTTGGCAACATAATGGATTCAGAAAACTACGCACTGTATGCATTTGGGAAGGCCTCAGAAAAATAAACTTCGCAAGAAAACTGTCGGAACATTCTTGATATCGTCCTTCCACAAAATACAATAATTCTTGCTTACAACCGTAACACAATCGTATTAATAATTATAATCATTTTATTATCAAAGTTACATCATCATTCTGAACAAATTAAAATTTCTTCCAAAATGATAATAACATTTCAATATATAAAATTATTTTTAAGTTATTCAGAAGAATTACATCTGGGCAGTAGAATCCTCGCTTAATATCACTGAAAGGAAAAACAAAATTTGATTTTAAATTTTGAAATACTTTTCCTCGTTACTTGTTCAGAAAATTTTCTTAAATTACGGTAACATTATTCGTGTACATAAATTTCAACGATTTTTCGCTAAAAAAGATCACTTAAAATTTTGCTTCCTCGTTCTAAATTTATCGTACTGATTGTAAAAATTTGTTATTCCTAGTGGAAAACAAGGAATCCGTGTAAAAATCATTCAAATTTTGAGTTAAACGTGAAAATTTGTCTTGAAATATTGCAAATTTTCCGAAAAAAATAAAATTTAGAACACTATCGTTTATACTTCGCCCAATGTTTTACCTTATTAATTAATTAATTTAGTTATTTGCTGATTTATTAAATATTTTCGGGTAGATATTTGCGTACTTATTTGTTGACAAAAATGATTTGATTCAAATAATAAGTTTAATTAATTTTTATTTCGATTCATAAGGAGACGCATCTTTTGTGCATTAATTTAAAATTTGTAATTTAAAACTGCGATTACTTTTGTTCTAATGTGATAAAAATTCAATATCAAGCCTAATGCATTGGTAATATTTTATTCTATCTTGTTTTTTAATAAAACAATTTTTTGCAGCTTTTAAACATTGAAGCTCTTTCCTTATATGCGCACGTAAATCGTAAAGAATTACAAAGCATATTAAGTTTTGATGAATTCTAAAATCAGAAATGTTAACAAAATTCTTAGAGCCAAAACTGCTGGTAAAAAACGAATTATGCTCTCAACGACTTTTATTTCAGATTATACAATTCAGAAACACTTTCAAAATTTTCTATCTTCCTGTTACATTATTACCTATCTGTGATAATACTTTGATTTTATCAGAGTATTCGTTTCAAATTCAATTTAATTGCAAGAATTAAAAGGCGGAAACTTACCAATGTCTTTCTTCAAAGTGTCAATTTTTGGAGATATTCTTCACGGTGGTTAGCAGTTAATATCAGTCCAATTGTTGGAAGTCTTCTTGTTCGACGATCAAATTACGAATTCTTCACCACCTCAAGAAGAAGCTGTTGGGGCAAAACGGAAAGTAATGGGAAAAGAGGAAGAGGGAGGCGGAAGAGTGGAAGATTGGAAGAGTCATGTTACCTCAGCTCCAACTCCAACTACAATTTCAACTGCATCTGCAAACTAAAACTGCAGTGGAAACTACAACTGAACTGCAACTGCAGCTGTAACGAAAGCTAAAAAGCTGTTGTTGATGTTTAACGTTTGCCAGACGACACGAAAGATATCCCAACCCCGAATTCCTCACAGATTATCTCTCCTGTATACTTTGCTATTCGGTCCTTCTTGATTTTATCCTTTCCTTCTCCTCCTTCCCCTCCTCACACAGTCTAATCACATTATCATCCGATGAGCGGTAGAACACAGCAAGCGGAACGTGAACTATTCAACTAACCTCAACGATACTTCAACTTTTCCGTTACTTCCCTCTCTCTCTCTCTCTCTCTTCATCTAATTTCTTTTAACACAAAAAATGTACTGCTATAATCTATTTAAGCTTTCTAATCGATCAAATCCTGGCTTATTCATTCATTATCTTACAATCTAACATTTATTTGTCTTATTCAGAGAGTGCACGCCATACACACATATACATACACGTACATACATACATATATTTATAAAGTATTAATTTATAGCGAAATAATTGAAATTATTAATTAAAGATGTTGAAATCCATCGGATAAAGATGGAGTTTTCAAAATTTTATTCACTATAAAATGGGTATACAAAGTTCAATCGTCATAAATTGGATATGAGCATTAAAAAAATGCGGCTACTATTATTAATACAATTGGAAATTGATAATATGATGATATACCCATTTCGTATGTTTTTTACTTCAGTTATTTAACATATCAATAATTTATGTAGCAATATGTTTCATTTGAAAAAATTAAGCATAAATGCAATAGAAGCTTGTGGTTCCTAAAATTTCTTTTGACTTTGATTGAATTTGGTTATAAATTCGTCACAACAATTGATCACTGATTTCATTTCGCTTTCATTTTTCATTTCGTTTTTGTGTTTTTCTTTCTCTCTTATTTTCAGTCAGAAATATTTTCTATCCAAATCAAAAATGATGAATCATACAAACATTACGTGGCACCGTGGTAATATTTGATCTTTCCGTGCTATAGAAAAAAAATGAGAATATACAAATAATTTACAAAGTGATAGATAATCAAATTCGATAAATCTGAACCAATTTTATCAACTATTTAATAATGATAATAATAAAGCTATTATCTTTTTAAGAATGAAAGCAACTTTTCAGTTTCTTGCATTTTCACATTTTATTATCATTGGAAAAAGACTGAGATAGTATCTGAATAGACATTGAGAAATTTGTTTATAGCCGTTAACGATCTCGCTTTATTCCATATCTTCAGACACTGAAATTTACAGCATTCAAAATTTACTATAATTTTTTGTAAAAATTCTGATCTAAGATTTTTTGTATATGCTGAAATTTCTTTATTTCTTTTCAATTTTTTGAAAAACTGTATTAATATTTTAACATTTTTGCTAAGCGATTTTTTCCAAAATGAATAAATATGTGTTCTGATTATATATTTCTATATTTCTGATTAATATGTTAATAACACTGATTGAATAAAAAACTTTGATATAATTTTCAGATCATATAGAAATGGAAAAATATTACTTTTTTGCACAGTTTGTGTTTTATGCATGCTTATGCTCGAAGTTTCAGCAGTCTGAGAGTTAGTAAAAAAGAAAGAGTATTCCTTTTGATCAATAATAGATAGACACACACTGATTTGTTATTATCATTGTTATCATCAACATTATTCATTTTATAATCATTGTTTCTATTGTGATAATAATAACAACGATGATAGTAATAATTAATAATAATAACATCATTGTTAATTATTAACAGGTGAGAGTTAGAATTAAACCCATAAGTACTCTAACTTGAAATTGATGGGAAGTTTCCGGATTTCCCAAAGTTTTAGTGAAAACAAAAAAAAATTATGAAAGCTTGAATAATACGTCAGGTCTGACAAAGTTTTGATTTGCAACACAGAAAGCACAACAACTCTTAGTAATCGGGTGGAAAATGTGACGGATATTTTTGTCTGAAATAATGAAGGCTTTAATTATTATGATATTTACTTTCTTGAATTCTGAATTATCGTTTACTTGTTATTCGAATCATATTGTTTTATTTTGTATATTTAAATCATTTTCTCGTCAGGCTTAAAATTTTGAAATTTTCACAATCGAGTTAAAATGATAAGGTGTTTGGGAAACTGTCCACATTTGGTCTGATTTATTAGCTAATTTTTTTGTAAAATATTTAACTGATAAATTAAACCTATGAGAAATGAACTTCAACATTAGTAAGTGCTGTGATTTAGAGCTGTAAACTGAAATTTAAAAATTTCGTTACCAAAAAGAATCTCATAAACTACGGTGCAAAACTTATGTACTTTCAATGTCGGATCCTTTATTTTCTTCCATCATTAAAGCTCTTAGAAATTATCGATTAAAATATTCAGAAATGAAAGTGATGGTGCAACTACTTAATAGGGAAGAAAAATTAGAATACAGAAAGTTTGGAAAAAATAGTCTTTGAAGAAAAAAAATATAAAATAGTAGTTGCATTTATGCAGTATCCCATGTTGGCAAAAAAGCTTATAAACTGATGTTTATCACCAAAACAAAAGCTAAACTCGAAAAATAAAGTACTAAAATTGTTTTTCACGTTATCCTTGTTTCTTTGCTTATAAAGTGATGAAATGAATATTTACGACATTTCATCGATCACATCAATAATACTTCTCATTCTTTTTTAAAACTTAATTTATTATTGCAAAATATTGAAGCAATTAGCATATTATACCATGCAAGCATATTGCATGCTATCGACGCCCCATGCATATTTATTACAGGATAACAAAGAAAAAAACAAATTGAAGTATTTCACAAACAGTTATATATGTAAATAATAAGTGCAAAGGCTATGAAAACGAAGTTATATATATCATTTGACGTTTTGATATTAGTTAATATCATAATGTCAACTTAATTAATTCAAAATGCAAACGCTGATAAAAGTGCATTCTGACAAAAGACAGAACTAAAGTTACTTTTCCTAAAATTGGAAGAAATTCTTTCAAATTCTTGCTATTGCGATCAAAAGTTAATTCGAATAATTACATTTAATGATAGATGTAAGTTGGTTGATCAGAGTGGACAATAATAATAAAAATAGAGAAAAAACATATTGACAACTTGCCAATATAATCGGTAATTGAATTCCAAAATTCAATACTGTAAATAAAAGATTTTTTGTAATCAAACAATGAAAGTAAAAAATTTTAATGAATAGAATTTTGATTGTTAACATAAATGAACTGCGAAAATTTCAGTGAATTTTGACGTTGACTTCTAACTTTATGATTAGCATTGTAGTCTGCGTCCCTTTTCATTGTAACTTTTGGTGAAACTAAAAAATTTGATAGATGCTAACAGTAATGAATTAGTGCCAATTTTATCAAAGCATAAAATTATTGGTTAATTGCTTTTTATGATGTAATGCTTGAGAAATAGCATTTATTAGTAATTAGGCAATGATAATTATTATAGTACAATGAAGTAAGGGAATTTTTTGATTGAAAGTAATATAATGAATTTGTTTGCAGAATTAATGAAGGAATTAAATGAAGAAAGATTTCAAAAAGGAGCAGAAGAAAGAAGTGTCATTCATTTAACGATAATAAAAATTATCATTAAATGAATGACACTTCTTTTTATCATCATTTCAAGAACTAATTAGTAAGAGAAATATGAAAAAATGATATCATACATTTCTTGAAATATCAGAAATGGTTTAAAATCTACTATGCATATTTATATTTTTGCTAATCCATATTTATATTTCTATACAAGAGAAACATAATTATATTTCATAGGAAGAAGAAAAATTTTGCTTTCCATTATAACACTTAAATGCGTCATTATCTTTTCTTTTATCACTAATATATTACTATTCTCCATTTATTTCCTTGCGGAATTTACTTATTTATCGGCAATTAGTTGGATCTCTTACATAAACTTTTCTCCTTCAAAAAGTTATCACAATAACTAATTTTAAATCGAATAAACTTCTCATACTTAATCTTTAATATAATGTCAGTTCAATTATTGATACAGACTATAAAATGTATATTTTTAAGCTATTAAAATTTTTTAGGAATTATTTTCTGTTAAATATATCGAATTGTGGAAAAGAATTTAATCATTTAAATTTTCAGATTGTATGACTTAATTTGCATTCTTCTTATTATTAATTTTTTCCATTATAAGCAAAATTCGAACGAATAAAAATGAAGGAAGAAGGACAAAAGGACAAAAACATTAAACGAATTTGTTTTCTGACATTCGCCGCAAATATTTGGCTTCTTCAAGACTTCGCATTTCAAGTTCGTTACGAAACTGATCCATTTCATGCAAACGCTTCTTTCTAGAATTGAATTATATTAATTTGAATTAAATGTTGTAAAGCATAATTAATAATTATTAAAAATTGTAATTGCAAAAATTTAATGTAATTCATTGACATTTTTTTTGCTTCCGTGAAATTCGCTCGAATTTCTTGTATCCAAAATAGATGCTAAATGAAGAATAATTTTTCATGCAACAGAAGCATTTCCTGTCAATAATGATCTGCGAACGGACACTTTCTTGGTCACGCAAATTTGCCATACAATTAGCTCCTAATAAATTTCAATAAAAAGGAAGAAAAAAGATCATTATTAAATATTTATTTGAAAAATAATATGTTCGAGGCAAACAATATAAATGGGTAAAAGAAGATGAAGTTTACTTTCTATCAAAAAATTTGAAAATAATATTTTGTTGAATAATTACAATCAATTAGAAAAAAATTTTTAAAAGAATATTGATAGAGTTACCTATAAGAAGTCCTAAATTCAAATGTTAACCAAACGGCAGCAACAAAAAGTGCGGTTATAAATAAACCAATCGCAATGAAAAGTAATATCACACGAAAGTGATAACTTTCACAACAACTGAATTCTTCACATTCCCACGTAAATGTTTGTGGACATTCCACCGTCATTTCAACTACAAAAAAGG